GGGTAAATATTAATCTTTGTCAGTTTATTTATTTCATGAGGGCTTTTGTTTTGGATGGTGTTTGAATGTGTTTATTTAACAGTTTTTATATTTATTTCATTCATATATAATGTCCTAAGTGTTAATTTGGTTGTGTTTAGCCAGCTTAATGTGCACACGCTTCTTGCACTGAGAGTTAAGCTAGCTGCCTTGTGCTTCTCTGTGTAGGAGTGGAGGCAGGCTGAAAAGCTGTAAACAAACTCAGGTTCTGCCATTCTGCTGGACAGAATAACCGAAGAGAAAGATCCTGCTGGTGTCATCCCTTGTCTAATTTAAAATGCAGAGTCACACTGGTTACCATGCTTTGGAGGGCCTGGTCTTCACCATACTCTCCATGATATCTACAAAGACCCCAAGACGGAGTCTCAACAAGTAAGATCAGACCCACTCTAACCCCATCTTCAACCAGGCAAGACAGTTCTTGGTTGAGCTGCAGATGTTCTCTGCAACCCATGACTTTGTATCTTAAAGGGATATTCCACGGTAAAATTAAGTTAGGGTCAAACACACCCTAACACTGAGTTAGACATCCCCTCAAGAGATGAATGTAGCCCTGACGAGTCAATCGAGTGCAGACGAGTTTTTTCAGCTCAAGGAAGAACATTCGTCTGCATCTGCAATGCAAAATGATTATTATGATGATTATTACTTCAAGAAAATGATAAAGTAATGATCATAAATGTTCTTCCTTGAGCTGCAGAACTCCGCTGATCAACTCGTCAGGGCTCCCCTCACAAACAAGGGGCTGCTGGAAGAGAGTAGGTGAGTTGTGTTTAGTCTCTTTGCTTAAGAAACCAGGCAAAGTTAAAAAGATTTTTGGTGGCTAGTACTATGGCTGGGACCCTTTATGTACTGTTGATGAAGTTAGGTGCTGTTCTGAGCATTATTTGTGGATATAGAGTGGCTTTTCGGTTGAGGTTTGCTCGTGGAGATGTAAACCGCTGTGTATTGCTATTGTTTGGTCGTTACTAAAGTTGGTATAACTAGAGAAGCAAGCAGTCGGCGACATTCATCTCTGGAGGGGGTGTCTAACTCAGTGTTACGGTGTGTTTAACCATAACTAAAATTTACGCTTGAATGTCCCTTTAAATACCTAAAAAAGGGGGTTTATTGGTTATCAGTGATTGGATGTTGGGTCCGATGGTGATGCTTCCTTAGTGAGCAGCTCTACAGCTTCTGATGGCAGTGAGCTTGAGAAGATCGTGGTGTTACATGATGTACATTTGGTGGGACCAGCTGTCCCCTCAGCTTGTGGGTAGTGTAAATGGCATCATGTCTCTTTCCAGTTCTGTGTTGTCCATATGAGATATCTTTGTGCAAATGATAAAAAGACAGACTTAGATCTTTGATAAAGAAGGAAGAAAACAGTCCAGCTGTCTCTACCTTAAAAGAAGTTCAAATGTATAACGCTCGGGGCTTTTCACTTTGTTTGGATAGACAATCGTGCTGCATACACACTCACAAACAGAAGGCCAGTAACACACAGTTATAAAAAGACCTCAGGGCGAGTCAGCTGCACACAGATGAGCGCCTTGAGCTGTTTGGGGTTTGGTACTTTGCTCAAGGGCACAACAGCATGGTATCACATCCGACAAGAATGCCAGCTGCAGAGAAGGATCATAGTTTGGAAAGAGAGGCAAAAAAGCATTAAATGCCACACTTACTCCACACTCTTGTGTTTGTCCAGACTGACTGGATAAAATGCCGTCTTTATGCCCATGGTGTTAGGCACGGTGAAAAGTGGTTGCTGCATTGCTAACTTGTCCTTCTGCTCTCACTCTTCACAGGTTCTTAGAGTTGCATAAGGATGGAAATCAGCCATGTTGCATCCTGGAGTGGAAATAATTGCTTATTTTTTACCCATTCAAATTTGGCTGTATGGATACTAAGACCTTTTTCACCCACACTTTTGCTTACGCTCTTATTTTTAGAAGTTGGGAGCATGAGTGCTACTAAGTTAGTTTGTTTGGACACCTTTACACTTACATAGAGATGCTTTTATTCATTCAGGATGCCAATTTTTGAGGTTTTCAAATATGAAAGAGGTACTGCCCTCTTTCCCTACCTGTTTTTCTAATCTGTTTGACAGTCATGCTACATGATAAGGTTTATAAAGTCTGTTCCCAATTTAGAATGGTGCTTCAACTTAACCTCAGTACCAGTCAAACCTCTGACAATCCAAGTCATCCAAACCTGGCGCTTGTTTGAAATGTTGGAATTACACTGCCAAGAAACTCTCCATCTGTCTTTTTGTGAAACTATCACAGTATCAGTTTATGACCTCCGATTTTTACCACCTTGAAATCATCTGTTAATAGACACAAAAAAACCTCTCAGACGTTGAAAGTGCCTGGCAGCTTCAAACTGAAAAAGTTGCTTTGAAATGAATAATAAATAATATAATTAAAAAGGAAAATGATCAGGACATGAGTCATGAGGGCTTTTGGTTCAGATTACATGTTTTTTTCAGACCAGCCGTGTTTTGCATCCATTGACCTCTGAGCAGCAGCTGCCCTATTCACCCTGTATCCCTTTTTAATGGGATTCCTACTGGAGAGAAACTGCAACAACCATCCTGTACTCTACTCATCATGAGACACTTTCTCCCTTTTCTTCTTTAGTGGAAGTTATCAGATCCAAGAAACATCAGCTGTAATCAAGCGTCCCCATCATCAGCTGCAATTAAACCCCCTTAAATATTTCACTGAGTACTTGGTTTAGGAGTGTTTTTCAATGCACAGGATATCAAAAGTTTCTAATAGCCGTCTTCAGTACAGACATGGCCGACCATAGTTTTCAATAATTCATCCCAAGTGAGGCCTCAATGTTGTACATAGTCATTGTTTGATTGTATAATATGACATGTAATGACTGATAAAGTCTTCTTTTTTATTGGAGGATGTTTAAGTTGGCTGATTGATTAAATGAACAAGAATGAACTCACTGACATTTCTTTAATCAATACACCGGTCTTCTGTTGTGTTCAAGCTATAGCACAGCCACCCTCCACCATATGAGACTGTAGCTCTATCTCCATGTACTGCCATAATGTGATAATGCTATACAACCCGGATCTGGGGCAGTAGTAGTATGGTGGTGGTTGGAGAGGCTGTAGGCACAAACTGGCAGCCATGTTTCTGTCAGTCTGCCCCAGACCCGCTGTGACTGCTAAGGTAGTTTACCACCACCAAAGTGTGACTGTGTGAGCGAATGAATGATGTATCCAATGCAAAGCGCTCTGAGGATCTCTGATAAAGCCTTATAAAATCTGATACATTGGCCAATCAAACAAAGGCCAGGTTCTAAAAATGCAGAGGCAAATGCCCAAATTTATTGACAACAAACAAAAAATAAAGTGAATAACAGAAAAACCACAGTTTCCGGGAAAAGGCACGGTCGGCTCGGACTGCCTCTGAAAAACACAAAACCAGAGTCAGAAAAAGGTCATTGCAGCAAGGCAAATAGCTGGTGAAAACAAAGTTCAAATGATAGTGGGGCAAGTAACAACTGGGGGAGTATAAAAAGACAAAGTGCAACAGAAATAGTAAACCAAAAATCTCCTCAACTGGAGGAAAAAAACACAAACACAAAATCACCCTTGCTCAAGGGAAAAATCTTATGAAAGTAACAAAAGAACTCACAAACAAACGCAGAGAGGCAGGCTGGATACACAGGCAGGAGAACAGGGAGCTGGGCGTGGCAAGACATGTGTTGCATGACTGGGTAATCATCCGGTACAGAGCTGACAGAGGAGCTGGCATATAAGGCCAGGTAAATGACATCAACGAGAATCAGGTGTGTGCAATCAGTCCAGGCCAGCCCCGCCTCCCGCCGTGCCTCTAGCGCTGCAGAGAGAGAGAGACAGAGAGAGAGAGAGAACACACACAGAGGGGAGGAACACAGCAACCCCAAAAGCTGCATGAACTCCAATCCTCACATACATTATTACCTCCGCCAAGGAGGTTGTGTTTTTGGTAGAGTTTGTTTGTTTGTTAGTTTGTTTGTCTGTTAGCAATTTTACGGAGAAAGTTACAGACGGATTGACCTGAAATTTTCACCAGAGGTGCGTCTCAGCCCCAGGAGGATCCCATTACATTTTGGTGGTGATCCAGATCGCCTTCTGGATCCAGGACTTTTTTGAAGGATTTTTTATCATTGTGAGATAGGGCACATTTTGGAATTTTTGCATTTAACTCTATAAAAATGTCCAGAGTCTTTAGTAAAAAATTACACAAAAGGATCTCGATGAGTTTTATGAGGTGTCAAAGGTTGATCCTGATCCAGACAAAATTCCGGATACTGTGATCCAGAACACACAAAAATAAGGGTGTCGTTGGAATTTTCAATGCTGAAAGATAACCAATGAAGATACAAGGAAGTGTACGCTTACAAATATTGCATAATAAATCATGCATTTATGTATCTAATTTGAGCTTTGTTGTTTTAGGAACATTATAAACAGTGAACATACCAGTTTAAACACAAATAAAAGTTAATAAAAGACACGTAACAGTAAAAGTTTTGGTGTGAATATAAGGGGGGACATGAGCTGCTTGGCGGAGGTCTGCGCTCCCCAAGTGCTTTTCTAGTTATGTTATTGTTATCTAAACCAGCAAATATGACAGATAGCTTCTTGTATAACAGCATGGACAATTTTGATCTGAAAAAAGAGATTAACTTGGATGTAGACTGTATCTGGTTACTCTATGGGAGCGATTGATCCAGCAGTCATGTCAACCTTTAAACCAATCTGACATTACTTTGTTGACTCGCATCAACCTCTGTGATATCATATTTAGGGACATGTTTGATTGTGCTCAACTTTGACTGGTTTTTGAGTGTTACCTCTTTGACCAGGCAGCTAGTTTGGTCAAAGTATCAAGTTTATTATACTAAAAATATATGTTTCACAACATTCACGTTCATCTTCTTGCAGACTGAATCAAACACTGCGCAAGAAAAAGGTTTTAGCACTTCATAATTTATTGTTTGACATTTGTTGTTCACAAGAACACAACTGAGCCCCCTCTCACTGTTTGGGCACATTGTATTTTCTCTTGACACAAAAGGCAAGACAGAAATGAGCTTGACAATAGTTAAAAAGCACAGAAACAACCGCATTTTCCCCCGATCGATCCAGACCTCTAGACACAATAATGGGAACAAAAAGTGCACTGAGTGGCCATGAAACCTCTTGTCTTATAGAAAAACTACTTGTTCCTCTACAGTGACCTTAGGTGAGAAACGTGTTACCTAATGTCTAGAGGTGCAATTATTGGGAAAACTTTGATGCTAGAACTCAATAGGGCAGACTTATCTATCCATGAAGTTTAAGTGTCTCCAAAGACATGAAGGAATAAATGAAACCACTTAAGCCTTTTCATGGATTCTGTACGGTGGTCCTTCAGAAAATATACACTGAACCAGCACAATGGGTCGAAACCCTTCATACAGAAATCTGAAAATTGAAATGTACTCTGCATGTTAAGCAGCTGAAAGGAGCATAAAACAAACTCGAACAGGGGCACTCAAGAGACATTTATGAACATGGTTTTCATAAGTACCATTGTAATACCATTAAATCAATACCTCTCTCTGTAACACTTCATGTTTGTTACACAAGCAGCAGCAAGCCTAATTATGTCACAACACGTGGGGACTTTTACAAGAAGCTACAGAGGATCAAGAAGGGTTTTAGCAGGGGTATCTTGATCTGGCTGCTAAGAGTACGATTATAACTAAGTGTAAATATCAAAATAAAGAAAAGCGGTAATCAAAGTTTTCAGGTTGGCACATGAAGGAAAAAGCAAGGAAACATCAACAACCTCAAAAGTGGTGTCAGAAGTCAAACACTGCCTTCACTGAAATGCATTTTTGTTAGTTTTTTTTAAGTATAAATTAATTTAAAACTGTGTGGGGAACATTGCAGTCCTCTGTGAAAAGCATGTAAGTAATGGCTCAAATGATTATCTCTTTTTAATTATGACATAGTCTTCCTATGATCATGGAAAAAAAAATCATTGAGATGAAGTCACTGTGCTGCCTGCTGTGTGTGGTAAAAAGAGCCCCCAAAACAGGTCTTAACCATGTAGTTTAAATATACACTAAAGGCCAGAAGTTTGGAAGCAAAATCAGATTTGTACAAAAAAGGGTCATAGTTTCATTAATATAGTTTGCAACACAATAAACATGACTATTGTGTAAAGTGTAACTTATCAGAAGACATTATGACTATAATTATTAGGTATATGAGTTATTGTTGCTTAGACTTTGCTTTCTTTAAAGTAACCTCCTCTCGCTTTAACAACAGCTTGGCATATACCAGGCATTCATTTAAGGTATGTTCCAGGGATTGCATTTCAAGCTTTCTTAAGTTCATTAAAAAGAGACTGCTGATTCGTGGGACGTGCTTTTCTGACTGATAGATCCCACTCATCCCACACAAGCTCAATTGAAAAAGGTCTGGAGACTGAGGAGGCCAAACCATCTTTGAAGAACACCATCCTCTTCTTTTTTGTCTAGGTAACCCTGACAGAGCTCGGCAGAGTGCTTAGGGTCATTGTCTTGCTGCAAAACAAACTTATGAGCCACAAGTCTGCGTCCAGATGGAACAGCATGGTGCTGGAGGATAGAGTGGTACTGTTCCTTCTTCATGATACCCTTTACTTTAAACAAATCTTCTACTCCATCACCTGCAAAACATCCCCATACCATGGAACTACCACCTCCATGCTGAATTGTGGGTGTAACACATGGTGCTTTCAGACGTTCACCAGTTTGTCTGCGGTCATAGACTCTGCGTTTTGAACCAAACAGTGCAAACTTGTTTCTAGTCATCATAAGTCCAATTTTTGTGAGCTTTTGCCCACTCATATCTCTTTTTCTTATTCTGTGGACAAAGTAGTGTTTTTTTGCAGATACACAACCCTTCAGTTCAGACCAGATACGGGTTTCGACCTTGTAATGTTGATCTCCTCCCTTATTTGTGGTGCTGTCGTTTGCCGATCTCTCATACTGGGGACAATGATATATTTATCCTCTGCTTTTGCAGTAACTTTCTTTTGTCCAGGTCTTTTTCTATCATCATAACTTCCAGGTTTCTCTTCAGAGTGTAGTGGACTCCTTTGTTAGACACCATTAGGCGTTTTGCAATTTCTCTTTCTGTGTATCCTTCTTTCCTCAATGTACAAATCTGTACTTTTGTTTCTTTACTCAGTTGCTTCTTTCTAGCCATTTCTGCGGTAGTTTGATGCAGTTGAGATTTATTAGGATTTTTGTTTGCAGACTCTCAAAAGCCAAAAAGTTGAAGTGTATTATCCAACTGTGATTTTTTTTTTTTTTGCTTTTGCACAGAAGTTGTTACTCTTGCAAATGTTTTCGACCCTACAACTAAGCCCTTGTTTTCTTTTGCTGACATATATTTAGCAATGTTTACACCAATGTATATCTAAAGGTAAATGGAGTAAAATGGTGCATTTCCATGAAAGCAACATCTGATCATGAAGTAAATACATCCCAAAATACATGAAACTCATGCTGGATTTTAAACAAAGCATTGTGAACAAAGACTTGAGGTTACTCCGAACTGTTTAGCCTGTAATGGCCTTGCTTCCAAACTTTTGGCCTGTAGTGTATATATATATATATATATATATACTGTTTATATATATATATATATATATATATATATATAGCAAGAATGCGTGGCTAGCAAGTTTGCTAGTAAACCTTGATAGAGGAAGGAACTCAAATAGACAAAGCAGTCATATTGTATGTTCAACTGGTTTAGAGCTGTAAAGTTAACATTGTTTTCTGTGCTTCCCTTTAAGATAATACATGTTGAGTATATCCCTAGAGAGGCCACTCAGACTCAAAAGCTACTCCAAAGAGAAGAAGAAGAAGTCAAAGTTTGTGACAACAGCAAACATGGCAATTGTTTGCTGGAAGGTTAGAAAAGAGGTTCAAAGCACTCAACTCTGAAGAGTTACTTAACAGGCAACTGTCTCCTAGAGCTCCATGGCAACGATGAAATATAACAATAACATTAATATGCGTAAAGAAAGCTCATTGCCTAGCGTAGTGGTGGCAGACATCATTCTGTTAATAGACTGATTGTTGCCTGGTGCTTGTAGACTGGGGTGATCCAATTTAACTGCCTAATTGCCATACACCTCCTCTGTCAGGAGCACAGCAACAAGGTTTAAGAGTGCAAAGATGCTGCACCAAAAATATCTCATATAGGGACTGCTTTATTCAAGCAAACCATCATGCAGCAACAGTTAAAGACAGGAGAGCAGCAAGCACTGCTAGGGAGGAAAGAAGGAGGGGCAGGTGTGTGTTCATAAAGCAGAGGAACAGAGGAACTCTCATGAGGAGAGAGAGGCTGTAGTTTCAATAACAAGCTGACGATGGCCGGGCTAAACTATAAGCAACATCAGTCTTGACCCTGGTTAAGATGAGTTCAAATATGTGTGTTGTGAGGGTTTCAGTGTGTTGAGTTTTTATATAATGACTGCAAATGTTACCAAATCAATCAGTAATATATTTAAATAATCATGTTAATCAAGCAGCCCCAGCTCAAGGGAGAGAAATTCTGCACCACACAGCAATTTATTATGAAGAGAACAAATAAGACTCTGAACAGTGAGTGATTTCCGACACAAAACTTTGCTTCTTTTTTCAGAGACCAAAACCCCCCAAAACTTAAGGATCAGAGGCTGTGTTCACTCGTTTTTTTCTGCTCAAGCAAGTGCAGTTCATTGTTTTACTGTCTGAAGCTTCAGCTTCAGGTTTTGTCAGCGCCTTAACATTTACATTTCATTTTTAAATGCCACCAAATGAGAGCAAATATGAAACATACAGAGTGTTTAACAAAAATAAAACCTGACAGTCGGTGTGTCCCAGGACAGCTTTTGTAACCATTGCGACAGTAAACCTCAGTGAGAAGTGCTCTGAAATTCAACTCAAGGTCGCTGTAAGCATAAAATCACCCTAAGTGAACACCGCCCCAAACCTCTTTATGCTAAAGATGAAAATGTCACACAGTTGTATGAACTATATCACTAAGAGATATGCACAGTTTCACAGATCATGATAGAAAAAATACCTCTTTCCAAAAATAAAAGCACCAAAGATAAATTACTCTTATTAGTCTGCAACATCTTTACTAGAAACACCAGGAAAAAAGACAAACATGTTTATCCAACAAAGAACTTCACAAATCACAAGTGTTTGTTTAACTTTTGCTGGACATCAGATACAATTAGAGATTAAATTTAGAGGCTGTCAGGAGAATTTTATGGAGAAAAATTGACCCTCAGATTTTTTTTTTTAAGTAGCTTAAAGCTGATCTGCAGAGTTGTGTCATAGGATTTGTCTTAAATGAGTCATGTCAAGCACTTTATGATGTTCTGATTGTAAATAGACTGTATGATTCATTAACTGACATTGTCAAACCTATTTCAGACCAACTTTAGTAATTTCACATTTACCTTTCATGCTAGCAGCTGGTGTTGTTTTTACTTTAACATTAAATCTGTTTTATAGAGGGCACAGGCTTGTTTTTTTTCTTTCTCAGCTATTACTATAGGCTTATCTATCATGTCTACTTCAAATCTTGCATCATATTTCTAGTTTACTGCACTCATCCTGCACTCCATATAACTGTAAATTCCAGAGTAGAAGTCACATCAGCATGTAAGACAGCATGTATTTGAGGGTCTCTCATGGGGAAAAAGTTTGAACGGTCTTCCTGCATGCAAAATTGGAGCTACTCTGCAGATGTACAGAAACAGTTCTTACCGACAGTAGCATTACAACACAATAGAGCTGACCTTTATGTCCACAGTCCTGCCACACACCTCCATTTGTTGCTTTTTGTCTCACAATGAGGAGTCTTCCCAATCACATCAGTGCTCAACAAGGTTTAATTGAATCATAATAGGCCACTGTTTGAATGCATGATTATGACCTAATGAAATCAGCCTGCCTCATTTTGTATTCAACATGTTTGTGCAGAAACCTACCCCTTTGCAAAGATACCGGGTATCCAAAATTGCAGTTTAAAAATCTCTAGTCTTGTCAGTGATGGTCTTGTTTGCTTAAGTATATCATAAAAAGGTATCAACATGGATTTTGGTCTTTTTCATAAAGGTCAAAAACTCCTCACAGGAGCTTTAAACTGCTGTATTAGTTGCACTTGTGTGAGAAACAGCTCACTTTTGCAACGATAAAATTCGTATATAAGGTGTGACTTCTACACTGAGTTTTACGGTAATGTGAAGGTACACGAACCTGTTGAAACCTTTAAAACTTTCTCACATTTCACAACCATTGGACTCAAACTGGTGCGTCTCAGAGTAAAAGAACTAAAAGATTCCTATGAAAAATAAATGACTGTTGAAAATAGACCCATCTCTTGCATTTCTTTGGTTACCAGCCACAGTTATCCACTCTGAACTGTTCGGATACAGAAACATGGTAAAAGAGCTCAGCTGTAGTATTCACAGAAACCAGAACATCTCAACATGCATTTCTTTACACAATGGTACATTTCTATTTCTTGCATCCTGTTCCTTCTATTTCAAATGTGTCTGCTTTATGCCAGTCTTGAGGCTAGCAGAGTAAATAAAAATAGATGTGTGTCATTGAATATTCTGCCAAAAGAAGCGGCTGTGAAGAAATCAAATGTGCCATATCTTGAGACTGTAGAATAGCTAGTGTGTTCAAAGTGGGGCTGTTTTTCTCTATGAATTCCAACAAAGGCAGAATTTAAACACGTTGACAGTGTTTCTCTTATTTTTAGCGTGAACATGTGAGTTTTTATTTGTCCATGTATTGCCTTATTCCAGGCAAAAACTGCTGCAGTATGTGTTCAACTGAGCTGACTCTGATGCTTTTTTCCCTACAGGCACAACAGTTTTAATCACTTTAAATCTCTATATGGTTAAATTCTCACTCCTTTTTCTGTTAGTAAATTACATTACATTATGTACAAAGAAATTAGTCATAATACCACCAGCGCCACAAAGCAGTGGCATTCACACGTCTTTGTTAATACTCAAAACCTTGCAGCAGTATTTTGTGCAGACAATCACAGAGGTAATAGATAATGTGATGAGTAGCCCTTCACAAATAAAAAGGACACCATTTACGTCCACACTGTGTATAAAAAAAGTGGCTTTCTCAGCTCCTGTATAAAACTGCGCTTAGCTTTTGTGTCCTTAAAAAGAAATTGTTAAAATTTTTGAACATTTTTCAAGAACATGTAGCTGCAGACACGACAAAGAAACATGCTAGTACACAAAATACTCACATGCAGACTTTACAAAGGTACAAAGAGTCTTAAGATCCCAAAAACAAAAGAATTCACAGTTATTTATCCATATTTCACAAAGAAAAAACAGTTTTTTTTCTCCACAACAGGCACCAGAAAGTACAAATTTATTACATTCAATACTGGAGTTTAACACTGAACTTTGCGTCTGTGCCAAATGTCTCAAAAAAAAAAAAGCAATAGGTATGATGGAGAGCGGGGTTGGTCGTGATTAAGCAGCTGCTGACACCCCTGACTTCTTTGGCAGGAGTGAGCATTAAATTAAAAACACAATTACAACAGGAATGGAGGGCAAACTCAAACAGATGTTGAGAACATTTTTACATCTAAATGACTTCATATTTAGTGACACTTTTTCAAATTTAGGTATCAAAATGTGTCGAGTATGAAAGTTGCCAAAGTTGTCATTGCTCAGATTTTCTTGTATCAGGTGACGTAACACTTACTTTGAAATCAGTGCCAAATCTCATGTAATTTTTGTGCCAATTTTGAAGCAAAGCATGGCTTTGAGCTAAAAACAAAACAAAAAGAACAAACAAACTGACCTTTCATTTTTGTTTTTGTGCTGTTGCCTGCCTGAATAAGACACAAAACTAGTTTTCTGCTTGCTTGCCCTGCTCTGATTCTGAGTTCAAAAATTCTGATTTCTGGTGCTTAAGTACAAATTTCAAACAGCTAAACCACAGTCTCAAAGAATTAGGATTTTACAGTGAATTAATTAAATGCTTTCAAGCTTTAACCATTATGACTACAAAACAACTCTCACAGATACTTTCAGCGTGTTCAGGGTCCCAAAGGAGTTGTGTCTAATTATACGAGCGGAAAATGAACAAGCCTCCCACATGGTCACTGAGACAGAAAACTGTAAGAGGATGTCAGGATATCTGTGTATGATAGCTCCCACTTTGAATGAGGTGCAGTTTTCAGCTGGAAGGCGTGAGCTTGTTCTTTGAAAAAGGGTCAAACCGGGGTCAAAACAACAGCCTCACATCCCACATATATAAGTACATCTCAGAGATGCACCGTGCAAGGTCAGGACCTTTGTGCTTGATGCACCAACCCTGTCAGGCACAATATTGCGTTTTTTTTTTTTTTCATGGTTAAGAATCAGTACTCTCTTTTATTTATATACCTAAATCTGCCCCAAAGTAGCAAAGGCTTCCACAGTTAACACACTTGGTTTTGACATCTAAATTTTACTGCATAAATTAACTGAAGGAGGCTAGCATTGCTGTCTGCCTTGAAATTAGTCCAAGATATAACGCCAATTTAATTTTTACTAAAAAATAAGAGTGCATGCAAAAGGTACAGAGCTGTAAAATTGTCTGTTCTTTTACCATTTAACATAAAACCAGTTGCATCCAGCTAACTTGTTTGTTGATTGTTTTGGTATGTGACTTAACAGGCCAGTGGAAAACATGGTTTACTCTGACCTTGGTATCGTGTTACATGTTCAGGGGTCTGCTGTAGTGAGAAGGATTAGTGTATAAATTTCTAAAGCATTCAGAGCAGCTTGGTCTCAATCAGCCAGTCCAATAAGATGCTTGAGTTTGACCAACCACAACAAAAGACGCAGCTATTTGGGAGAAAGGCTACAAACGCTTCATTAAATTGCTTTTGACTTAAATTATCTGGATGACTGAGAAAATTTAAGTGGACAACTTACTCAGTAGAGGGTTGTCTACTTATGACATGTGCCAGTCGATACTCAGACTGAGCCTGATTTCCTCTCCTGACTGCTTCATTGGCTCTGATACCGCTCTCACCAACTCACCAGCTCCACCATCCACTCAGATTAACTGCCAGTGTACACAGCATCTGACTTTGTCACGTTGTTTCACCATCACAGCCGTACAGTCTGATGCTTTTATAGCCAAAGTTTTATGGCCCTGTGTGTGTGTCCTCAGGGTCTGCATCCCCAAGGTATGACTCAACATCTCTGTATCTCTATTTTTGCCTGAGTGGACTCTGACTGTGCTCGGACTCAGCAAAATTGGTTTCCTTGTCGGTGGTTTGACAGGAAGAGAAATCATGACAAAGAAGGAGAAAGAAAGAGATGTCTAGTTTTAGCTTATCCTGCCCTCTATCAACAGAAGTGATGATGGAGGGCAGAAGAGGACTGCATATTCATTTGACAGCAGTTCTCATTTTAATATTTGTTCCTGTCAGATAAGAAAATCGGGACAAAATCAGGGAAAATAGGTTGTATAAATGCTACTTACACCAGCATCCGTGCGCAAGCTGCTGAGCTAAAGATAAGTCATGAAAAATTCAATTTGCATATTTTCCTGCTCTGGTAAGTCGAGTTACAGTTAAAGCCAGAGTAGCCGATTTAACTGGACTACTAGATTATGTCCACCTCTGCTGTGTAAAGTGCCCTCTTTCAGCTTCTTACTGGGTTGTCTACCTGTTGACCTGTGACGTCACCTACCAAAACAATCAACAAACTTGTTAGCATGAGGCTGACAGGAATTTACAGATGGCACATTGATTGCAAAGTTTTGCAAACAGAACAGCTTGAACTAATCCATCTCTCTGTCATCTCAGCACATCTTAAGAGTTAGCATATGTTTCTACACATAAGAAACACTAATGAGCTTTGGCACTGATTCAGTAGGATAGTTCCACACCCGTTAAAACACAAGCTGGTTATAAATCAAACAGAAACCAAGGGTAATCAAAAGTCCTTTATCTCCAGCTGAACAAACAGAACTTTTTTTTTATTATTCCCATATGTTATCAGCCCATTAATTGGTTGTAGTCGACATCTTTACCGCATCACATGGTAGCCATGGTGGTGAGCAGGGCGAATAGTGTAAAGCTGTTAGAAAACAATATTGATTTTGGTTTATGTGACCCCTGATAACCATATGCCAGTTAATGGGCTGATAACATAGAAGGAGGACCATCCAGATTTTGACCGCCTTACATCTTTTCACCCCTGAGAAAACGTCCTCCTTATGCAGGGGGAATTCTTTAAAAAAGCACATCCTGCAGCTTCTTGTTGTATATTCAAGTAAGAGCAGCAGTAACACTTGCAAACATTAACCATTTCCCTCCCAGAGCAGCACAGGCCTGCCCTTTAAGAAATCTCAGACGTGTTTGATTGAATAAACTGACCCCCCAATACTGTTGAATCTTGCTTCATGCTTGGTAAATTTTCTATCAAAGACCCTTTTCTGTTTTTGTATGAATTTGTTGCTCAAGACAAAAAATACTTTTTTGTACAGTTTTTACACCTTTTCTTTTCAAATATATAAATGGCCCCTTTAAAAAAAACTGACATAAGAGTTTAAAGGTATGTGAAATACCATAGAACCAAAAGGACGTTTGGGACATGACCCAGCGAGCAAAAGTTACGGCACAAAGACAGATCCACATTATCACCGCAACCTAAGCTTTAAACTCAGTCACACAAAATCACAGTACATGTTCAGCAGCCAGGGTAGGCCTCGTTCATTTTTTCAATGAATTTTATGAACACCACAAAACTTTTTGAAAAGAGGAAAAACAAGAAACACAAGTACAAATTTTCCGAGTTGGTCAACATGGCACATTCTGAACAGGTTCATGAGACATTTATGAATAACTTCATATTAAAATCAGCATCATTTAACCCAGGGTTGGGCAATCATGTGCCATGGAGGGCCAAGAGGCTGCAGGTTTTCTTTCCAACCCAAAACTCCACCAGGTGATTTCACTGATTACTTTACCTCCAAGCAGAGAGCAGGGACTAATCAGTGAAATCACCTGGTGGAGTTTTGGGTTGGAAAGAAAACCTGCAGCCTCTTGGCTCGCCATGACACATGACTGCCCACCCCTGATTTAACCTGTTCTATGTACAAGTTGGCAGAGCAGATTTCAGAATAAAAGCCTGAACAACAACACAAAATGCGATCCGTTTCTCTTCTTCCTGCACCTGAGGGTTTCTTTTATCACATTTTTGTCTTTTGAAAAAGTTATATAAGACAGCAGTCATCTGTTTCCTGTAGTTTTCTCTGATGAAATTTCCCTTTGTTTCCTAAAAACTATTTTAAATGTCGACAAATGGTGAAACACTGAACAGATTCTACAGCCTCTCTGCCACATTTGTTTGCCACTGGTTTTTAATCAAATGCCTGATTTCTCCAGCCTGCTCCCCAAACTCATAAAAAATCTGCCTGCATTTTGCAGAAACTGAAATGAGGCTGCTTCTTCACAGAAAGATGGCTGTTTCCTGATGATGGGAAATGCAGTGGAGCCAATCAGAGCAGCATCTGTGATATGGTACAATAATTTCACCTTCGAGGGCCACAGAGGGATAAATCAGGACCTAAAAATGTTTCCAACTGTGGATGACGATAATGCAGCTGCACCCCTAAAAGAAAACATGTGAATTTCTTTATCATAACTGCACATTTGACCACATTTATCAAATTATTTCAATTTGTAAACATGTTATTTATTCTAGCCACATGTATCCAGGTGTTTTTGCAAATGTGCCCCACATGATTTGATATTTGATTTCATATTTCCTCACATTATTGTACATTTCAACATAGAAATGTTTGGACAACATGTTAAATGTACTCTTCAAGCTCCTGTGAGGAATTTTCAGCTAGTTATTTTGGCGCCCCCTGTGGACAAAGCAGTCCAAGCTTATCTGGTCCTCCACAGTGACAAAAATGAACAACCTGTTATGATTTATTGTGAATATATTCTTGAAACAATTAGTTTTGACAGCTGCCCAGGTAACGCCTCCCCCCTCACACAAGCTGATGGTCGTGTTTGCTTTTGTGTTTCATGTAAAGGCATCAGTGTGGATTTCTGTCCATTGAGGTATGCAGATTTTGCACTTCTGCTTAGCTTCATTTTTCAACACCAAAGTTTGCTGTTTGATGCACATACACTGCAGAGGGAGTGCTTTTCTAACTCATCTTTTTGAGGATGAGAGTGATGCATAGATTAGAGTATATATATGTGGGTTTTGACTGACAGACAGGTACACTGTTGCCAAGATACCAACTGCAGCAGCAGCCAAAATTTAAGACTTCCACTATCAGCTGGCTTTAAAAGTTTGCTTCAGAAACCAATGAGTGATATCATCTATCATTTATTTCTTGAAATTACCTCCTAATCGAGGCTTTAACGGCTTCACTCAAACCAAAACTCCCCTGGTGGGGCACATCCGTTTGTGTTCAATAATAAAGTCAGGCACAATGAAATCCAACCATCCCTCAAGTGGTCCCATCAGAAAAATCTTACAAAAGCTGTGCTGTCTTTTATTATTCAGGCTCAATACTTTCTCAATTTGGACTCAATTTTGATAATTTTCCAACATCCTCCAAAACATCATTCAAACGGTTTAAAAAGGAAACTAGTTTAAAAGGAATATTAGTCATGAGCAGCTTGTGTTTGTCAGAGGAACACAGGGTCTTTCTGGGCTCTAACAGAGAAAAAGCCTTGGCCGGTCTTTGTATTAAAACTTGGAACAGCACTTTGGAAATAAATCATCATTTCAATAATTAGATTATGGTAGTTTAAGTACTTCCTATTAACAGTGGTAATGACTCATAATGAGAGCAAAGTCTTAAGATTTTTGTTCTTCAATTTGTCCCAAACCACAAGTACACTTCCTGACGTCACTTTTGAAATCTGCTCTGCGAACATGAAAGCACATGGGTATCTGATGCCTTTTTATACATTTGTACAAAGTTTATATATCACTGAGCAGGGCAATCACCTTTTAGCAGTGTAGTACCAACTGATCTGAGATCTTTTCTCTCTTCATAAATACAGTTCAAACATTTTAAAGGTGCACAATATGTGCAAATACATTGTGTTTCTTAAAGGTTATAAGCATAGGTTTGTTGTGACGGGAACTTTTCTGAGTTTGGATCAGCTAATACTGATTTCAGCCATGATTCCTTCTGTCAGAGACTAATCAAGTCTCAGACAAGTCATATTTGATTGTATGGATCTGTTCTAAGAGCTCCCTGCCCTCCCAAGTGCATATGTGGGCTGCCAAATACTCAGGCAGGGAGACCCCCCCCCCCCTACCTGGTGAAAACAGACACAGCATAGAAAGGAGGAGCTTGGGTGGAGGGAGTTTGTGAAAGACGTGGCAGTGAAGGACAGAGCAGAGCGTTAAATCTGGACAAATACCAAATATAAATGATTTATGCTGGTGTAATGATCAGGTGATGTAACGTGGGCTGAACTGACTGGACTTTGTAGCCTGCCTGGACTAACACATTTCTCAATTTGTATTGTGTATTTGTTGAACCAGCAAACACTGTGAGGTAACTTGCTGTATAAATTGATTTGTCGAAGCGGTGGATGTATTACTGCTCCACAAGTTGTTTTTCTCCAGTTTTGTCCCTCTTGCCCAAGCCTATTTCACTCCACAGTGTAGAAATTGGCACATAGACATTGGCACCTTTTCAGGCAGGCTTTGCCATATTTTTTACTCAGTGTAAGATTTGAGTTTGAATGAGGAAGGTTGTTTTCTTTCTGAAATGAGAACAACCTTGCTTATCACCTAGAAGAATATCTCTTCCTTCTCAAATAGACACTGCAGTCACACCCCCGCTGCTGCAAGAGCCTTTCTCCAAGTCCTCCATGACCAAGTCTTGTTCCGTGACGTGATTGAGCCGCCTGGAAGTGTTCTTATCCAGGCTGTTGAGAGAAATAGGTTCCAGTGAGGTCTGTGCGTTATTTGCCGGCAGAACAGAGTTCCCCTGCAGCCTGTGCGAGTAGGTTTTCCGCCGCTGGCCGTCCGCAGTGCACAGGCTGAACTTAAACACAGCTTGAAATCCTCTGCGGAAATTCTCATTGAAGAAGCCGTAGATGATGGGATTGACGCTGCTGTTGAAGAAAGCCAGCCAGTGGGCGAAAGGGTAAATGTAAATATTGATAATTCTGTACTGCTGCTCGGTCAGGCTGGCATAGTCGCTCAACATCATGAGAGTCCACAGAGGCAGCCAGGAGAGGATGAATAACAGAGCAACTATTAACAGCATTTTAATCACCCTCTGCTTCTTTTTGGACACAGAGTGGCGGTTGTCATGGCCCGTCTTTCCTCCTGTTGGAACTGCCGTTTTGAAAAGAGTAATGCCAATCCGTGCGTACATGATCACAATGAGGGAAAGGGGAGCAAGGTAGATGTTTGCAAAAAGGACAGTGGTGTAAATCTTCCTCATCTCCTGGTTTGGCCAGTTTTCTCTGCACCAGTAGAAAGGCGTGGTTTTGTTGTCATAGCCCAGCAACACTCGAATGGTTTGCTCCTTTGTCACTTGCAGCATCACCCCAGAGGGACACATAATGGAAATAGCAAGGACCCAGATAATAACTATTATCAGGGTGGCAGTGGATATGGTCAGCTTCTGCTTGAACGGGTAGACGATGCATCTGAATCTGCAGAGGGAGAAGAAGAAGAGCCGGATGAGGAGAATGCATGCAGACATTAAACCTGCATGAAAAGTATATTTCACACAAGACACTGAGTGACAGCAGATAATATTCATTTCAATGGCATGAAAAGACATTATGAAAGCTGCAGATTGCACTGAAGGAGACCTCACATACTCATAAACCACCTGCTGTGTTGCAGCAACCGTCATGTAACAGATTAGAAAACTGGTTCTCAAGATTTTTTTCTGTTTAATGTTCTAGAGGACTTCAATGTCACTTTTTGCTTGCCCTAAAAGGCATTTTACCACAATAAAGAACTCTTCCCAGGGTTGTTTTGCTGTTCTTCAAGTAGACCATGTAGTTTGAAATTTGTGTAAATGTCAGACAAGAAAAGGCATCATTCGTGACATTTTGAAAACCTTTTTTTAATTAAAATTTTAGAGACACCAAAACTTCCTACGCAGGAATTTACTACAAACCGTGGCATCAGTTTTGACATTTTGAGCTTCTGACACTTAATCCCCTGTGTACTGGCAAATATTTGTGCAACACTTACCGATGAAAATTGAAAAATGAAACACAAAGTCATGAATAAAAAGTTATCCAAAAAAAAAGTTTTCTCAAACTGGAAGGAGCATTCAGGCATCGATATTTTCTAACCTTTTTTTCCTGGGAGGGCATTCATAGGGTCATTTTTTTACATTTGTACAATACAATGGGACAGCATTCAGAGAGCACTTTAAAAAAACTTTTATGTACTAAAAGGGCAACCAGAAGGACACAATCTTTTTAACATTTTGTTCACATCTAAAAAGGAACACTTTTTTTACCTTATAAACCGAAGGGGCCCTCCATTTTGTAAATACATAACCCTAACCCTCATAGAAACATCCAACGGGCACTTTTTAACATTGTTCATACAGAATAGGCATCAGGAGGGAAACATATTCTATAAAATACACTGTTGAAGGGCATTGAGAGGGCACTTTTTCATATTTTTACACTGGAGGAGGATTTCATGGGAAAATTTAGTACATTTTTTACACCAGAGGGACCTCCAGAAAGCAAGATATTTTACTTCAAGGTGGGGTAGGCAGGATTCCGTTAAAGATACATTTTATTTTGTGGTGTATATACATAAAAGCTTTTTATATCAGAAAATAGCTATTAATTATTGAGGACATATGGGGCTATCACAGTATTGCTGTGTTTTGTTATGTCTGTGTAGTCAACATTTAAAAATTTTGAGCGGCGCGGTCTTTCTGGCCGTAAACAGGGCCATTCTCAGTCTCCCCCGACCTGAATGGTTGTGAAGTATGTCATTTTATCCTAGTTGTAGAAGTCCTGCAAACATTGTGTTTGCTAGTAGTCTGTTGGCATCTACAGCAGCAATAATGCTTTTTACTTTAACTTAACTGGGCCCCTTTAACATGAGCTGGACAGGCACTTTTTAATGTTTTATACAATGATAGGCCATCTAGAAAGAGACTAATTTGAAGTAATGTACACTGGAAGGGCACTTTTCCATGATTTTTTTACACTGAAAGGGTATTCAGAGAGCTCTTTTTTTGTCTATAATGAAGTTTCATTCTGGTTGAAATACCTTTGTCCCATGTAAGCAATTCATTTCTTACCAGAATCCTATTTTGTTTTCTTGTGAGGAAAACAAAGGACTGTTTGTGCTCATGCAGGGTCAAATTTAGACTCTATTCACTTTGAAGGGCTGCTGTCTGAAAAAAACAGACAAACCCAAATCTGGATTAGCATTCATGAAACACCACAGCAGCAAATCTACCACCAAAGTCTGCTTCGACTTAAGTACAATAAGTCAAGTGAACTGCTGCCCTCGCTCTGTGTGGTGCATTTTCAGTTTTTACAGAAGAACAATGACTCTGTTGGCGCTCTTTTCTTTATTGTATGGAGCCATTTGCACGGCCAAGTAGAGTAATTATCTCGGCTGCTCCTTTTACCTTAGCTGTGACCTGCAATTGTTTCTGCACCTTATGGTATATGAAATGACCATGTCAAACCGTGCACAAAAGCAGCCTATGCATACCATGCTGTCTTTGAAAAAGGAGGACAAAGGAGACTCTTGACAATATCAGGGACAGAGCATAAAGGTCTGAATGGGATTTCTTTGAACTGAACTTTCTTTGCAGGTACAAGTGGAAAAAACAATGAAGTTTGCAGCCTTTTATTCGATTCTGCAAATTGTTGTGTCCTGTAAAAGAAAACAAAGAAAGAGGACATGCTGTGGATACTGATTTGCACTCACTGTCGTAATTACCACAAAATGCATATATTTTTTAAAAATATGAAAAACAGAGAAAAATACATCATGTAAGCTAACAGACAGCATCCTGTAGTTCTTGTGTTGTAATGGCCCTTTTCAAATCGTTATCTCCATCTACCACGACAAATGATTCAATTATTTACCAAAGAGGCTCATAAGGAATGAGTCATCAGCATTTCTAACCAGATACTTGAAGCACTGAAGGTTTCAACACTGCAACGTACTCGGTAAACCAATAGTTCAAGGGATATTCCATTATTTTTGTAGTGGGATTGAGAGATACATGCCGCCATCCAGTGTATTAGTCACAACAGTTCTGCCCATGAAACGAGAAACTGCCTGGAGGAACTGGCATGCAAGCAGAGCTACAGTTTTCAACAAACAAAGCCAAGTCTGCCCCATATATTGGCTGATTGTGGCAGATTCAAACCCAAGCACTCCTCACTTCAACTGTGCACCCTACCGCGTTGTACTTCGCCGTCAGAAATTTGCAGGCACAACTCACACAGAGCTCCTCCACCTGAAGCGTGCTGATCAACTGTTAGGTCTGCAGGCTTTAAAATTTCCAAAAATACAGCCAAACCTCCAAAATGAGTGATTCTGGCAGTGCAGATGGAGTTCTGTTTACTGCAAACAAACAAGTGACTCAATGCACCAAATGAAAAAGTAGAGAAATGATTGTGCTTATTGGAGAGCAGCAGAGATCCCAGGCTACCTGGTGGTGCAGGTGTGTGCGAGTCAGTGCCCACAAACTGAGAAAGGTACTTACTGTCATCATGAGAGAGACTTTGTTCCAATAGTTCCTCTGGACCTTTGGGAGTTAATACATACCACTCTCATTGTTGTATAATGACACAACTCATGGTCCACATAATATGTTTACCTTGTCAAAATACACTGTAGGCATTTGGTGCATTATCATGCATGAAGAAACTGTGAAAACATTAAAATTCACAGTGAATCGGTGACTCCTGTCTGCAAATAGAGCTTAAACAAAAAGCCTCTCCAGGGAACAAGGATAAGTGCCTGGGTCAGAGTCTCTCTAAAGAAAATTCTGTTTTTCATGAAAATCTGAGAAAACTGTGGCCTAGCTTGGGTACCAGATCCCCGGCGATTTTTCATTAAAGAGGCAGAACTGACCTGCATCACCAGTGACATGTAACATGTACAACTCCATTTCAAAAACACTGAATTATCCCTTTACCACAACTATTAGTTCTAAAATTATTTTACTAATTCAATAAGAACATAAAAGTCAGAGTGATCAGATTTCTTCAGGCTAGTTGAAATAATTACAGCTAAGTCTGCTGATGTCTGTAATTGGAGATGCATCCATAGCAACCATGCTGTAGGGAAATAACAGGCTGTTGCTATGGATTGTTAACCAGCCATATAATAGTGCTTTTCAGATAAGCACAGAGGTGCTCGACACATTCTGATATCCATGAATCAGCTGATGTTAGTGTGTCCTGTCCTTTGTGTTGATGTTTGTTTGTGTGTTTGTCTTTGCGCACACACACACACACACACACACACACACACACACACACACACACACACACACACACACACACACACACACACACACACACCTCCCTGCAGTCTGTGATTGACAGCTACTATGAAGAGGTGACCTCTCATACAGCGGCTCTGCCTCAAGGCATTGGCTTATATGGATCAAAAGTCAGACCTAATTTTCTGTGTTCCCATCACTGTTCAGGAAACATGTATGATGTACAAAACTATTCCCCAGAGCCAGTCATCCTTCTGTAATGTTTTTTAATCCTACTGCCCCAAAGAGCTTTTAACTGTGCTACTGCTCCTGCTCTAAATCTGGTCTCACTCATTTTTATTTGTTAAATTCATTGTACAAAAACCAGTGAAGGGTTTTCCTTTTGTGGTGGCAGAGAGGGGCAAACAATCTCCAAATGACCTCCATCTGAAGAAGCATGACTGCAGCGGGGGGATGCAGCTCAATTTATGATTATTACTTCATAGAAATGATAAAGTAATGATCATAAATGTTCCTCCTTAAGCTGCGTCACCCCGCAGCAGTCTGTAATGGACTGGCCTGAGGTCTCGCTACAAACAAGCGGCTGCTGGAAGAGAGTAGGTGAATTGTGTTTAGTCTCTTTGATGAAGAAGCTAGGCAAAGTTAAAAAGATGTTTGGTGGCTAGTGCTGTGGCTGGGACCCTATATGTACTGTTGATGAAGTTAAGTGCTGTTCTGAGCATTATTTGTGGCTATAGAGTGGCGTTTTGGTTAATGTTTGTTTATGGCTCCTCAGACTGCTGTGTATTGCTATCCTGCGGTCATTACTAAAGTTGGTATAACTAGAGAAGCAAGCAGTCAGCAACATTCATCTCTCGGGGGGGGTGTCTAATTCGGTGTTACGATGTGTTTGACCTTAAATTAATTTTATGCCGGAATATCCCTTTAACTGCCCCAGTAGTGCGCATTCAAGAGCAAAAGCAAAATATCATAACAAATGCAATGAAGGGAGAACAATCTAAATGCTCTTCAGCAGTATCCTTGTGTCAATCCCAGAACAAAAACCTCCATCATTTTCACTAACGTCACCTTCCAGGTGTGCGAGGCGCAAGGAGACATGGTTACAGTAGAAAAGACTGCCAAGCAATTTGGCCTGTCTTATTTCTGGCAGCAGAGGAGATTGCCATTTACCTTCCTCCTAAAATCTAATTCTCATCATGTTTGATAGATATGTGAGGTGACTTTGACTTTTGGATGTCAACCTTTTTAAACTCCATCTGTCCTTCCTGGAGGCACAGACAGCCTCGAGTGATTTCAGATTGCAGCAGAGCAACATCAACATCACCTCCTGTCTGGTGTTTGAGGACGGAGCAACGGTCAAATACCAGCCCTGGATCTATTATTTCTTTACAGCTTGAAGAACAGCTCTGACTCCACCTCTGAAGTCTGCTCTTTTTGCAATTTTCCCTGCTTTAAAGCTCTGCAGCCTCCTCCAAAGTTTTTCAAAGTGTTTTAACAATTTAATATTCAGCTGTTGTCATCTTGATGAATAGTAATTGGACTGTTTAGCTCGATCATGAAGGCATTTCTTTAAAAGGAGACAACAGAGATAAGAAAACTGTCCAGGCATGCTAATTTGTTCGTATTGATTGGATATGATATTAACAGCTTGTGCATTGCCTAGTGCAATCAAAAGCAAAACTTTTCCATGCCCACACACACACGCATAGCCATGAAACAGGTGGTAACATGTAACAAAGTGGTAAACTTAGTGTGTTTTTTTTCTGCAGTGAACTTTATCCCTAATTGCAACTATATGTTGCATGAAAAGCAACAAAGGGCATTTTTAGCACACCTTTCCCTCCTCACAGCAGCTACAGACATTAAAAATAATAGACTCATTTGTTTTTGTAATAGAGACACCTTACTGTTTATTTCAGCCTGCTTCAAAACCTGTCAAATATTCCTTACAGGAGCTTTAAAATGTTACCAAAAAACTAGATTGGGGGCTATTACAGCTCGAAATTACCCATATATCTCATGAGTAGATGAGATTTGGGATTTCACACCATAGGAAGGAAACTCTATGAGGCAGTTTGTGACGCTGAAACATCCACACCACCTCAAAAGGCATGTTTGCAAAAAAAAAAAAACATCAATTCAAATTTGTTTGGACTCAATGTTTTATGCTTTTTCAGGATTTTTTTAGCCTTAACTTCAACTCTCAGAGCCCACAGCAGGCAATTACTAAAACTACAGCTCTACTTCTAAACGAGTGGCATCTGCAGCTGTTCGGGAGGATTCTTGCATCTGTGTTTCCATGTATTTTCTGTTGCACCATTCAAGAGTGAGAGGTTCTCGATAAAGACAATACAGTGTTAAAATCAGCCACCATACCTGTCAACAGCAATAGCCACCAGAGTGAAGACGGATGCTGACACAGAAATCCCCTGAACCATCCCGCTCATTTTGCAGACCAGGCTTCCAAAAGGCCATCCTGTTGACAGGAGAGATGCATTCAGCGGATTTACAAACCAGGAAAAACAAGCAGAGACAGAACAGCAGCTCATGACTGAATTTCAACTCCCTGCATCAAAGTGACTCGCCCACTGACAGTTCATAAGATGACATGCAAATATCTTCAGGGGCTGGAACCACTTTCTCCTTGATGACTACTTTGTCAGAGATTCTGATGACTTGCAGCAGAGGTGCTGACGGAGTAGGTGTCTTATTATGCTTGACTCAAAATAAACGCACACTGCAGACTGTCATCAGTATAACCCCCCAGCGTCTGTAACATGTGATTAAGTCTCATAGAGTTTTTCCAGTTAAAGCAGTGGCTGTTACATGGAAGGAAGTTATTTAGGGGAATTAAGGCGCTGCAGCATGGGAGGCACACTTTGTAAGGGGAGAAATCACCAGAATAGTTTTCTATGTCTCTCTCAGGGGGAGTTTGAAAGTTTACAGAAAATGAGTTGGGTAATTCCATCAAATCTATCCAAACTTTGTCTAACACCCTGACAGTGTAGCTACAAGTTTGAGGTTTAAAAGAAGTGATTGGTAACAACTCAGGGGAAGCTTTATGCAAACGAAGACTGAAAATTAAAAATCTTATCATTCTGCTACTTTGATTCCTCTAGTTTGAAATATGTGAGTTTCACTGACTCAATGAACTCCACCACCCTCCTGCAGACAGCTGATTGATATCCTTTTAACTCAAACTAAAATCTGAGACACAGTTAACAGTGAAAGGTTGTTATAGTTTCAGTTTGGATCATCATCCATTGATCATCAGATGTTGTATGTGAAAGTTAGTTCTAAGTATTCCCACATGATGGCACTATGACCGTCATTGAGAAATAACTAAGGCTAAACAATTCATTTAAGGTAACCATACTCTGAATCCTCAAAAAGAGGACAAGACTACACAGAGTCTTGCGTAGTTAATTTTGAGAGTTTTCCGGGTCAAATCCAGTGTTTTTTACACGCTTCTAACTCAGTAAGTCCACGTGACACAAACTCAAGACCTCCACACAAAACCACCGACATTTGAAGGATTTTATAAACTCCTCCGGACAAAGCCGGACAAGGCCGGGTAGGCTGGACAGCCCCCAAAAGAGAGGACATGTCGGGGTAAAAGAGAACGTACAGTAACCCTAATTAATTGCATTTGTGATTACATCCCAATATGATAAAACATAATTTTCTAAACGCAAAGGCTGTGATTTTGACTGATCACGTGTTCCGGTCACATGACTTGCAGGCGGAGCGAAGCAGAGCAGGTAAAGAGAGAGACGTCAACACTGCACTCTTTCGCACTCTGGCGTAATTCCGCCACAGAAGCTGACACTGCAGAAAGTTTTAGTACCAAAGAGGGGCAGCACGGCAGTTGTGTGGATTTATCTCGGCTGAAACAGATGCTGCTGCGTAACATGTACAAAACCTGTCATGATACTGTTGCTACATCAGGCGGTAACACTACGAACCTTTATTAAGACTTAAAAAACACAACAAAGCCATGTACGATAGTTTAATGGCTAAAACACTAGTGACCAGAGGTCTGTTTCACGTAGCAGGTTTAATGGAAACTCTGAGTTTGTTAACCCTGAAATCAGTGAAACTCTGAGTTTTCCGTTTCACAAAGGAGGGTTAGTTAAATCAGGGAGAGAGGGGTAACTCTAACCTGTTTCACAAAGAGAGGTAACTCAACCTCGCGGTCAGTTACCACAGTAACAGACTCCGTGAACCTAACCTGCTCGGGAGCAGGTTTAACTCAGTAAACCCAGAGTTTCAGGTGAGACATCGGCATTTTCTCATTTTGATCATGTTTTACATTGTCAAGTAAGTATTAAGTGGCAGTTTGATCCCTTACAAAATGCTCTTTTCACACTCAAAACTGAATTTTACTCTCTTATTATGTTCCGTTAAATGATTAGGAATATTAAACTAACACAAAAACGGGTGGTGGTCCAGCAGCCCCACCTTTAACGGAGGCAGAGGAGCTGCCCCCCCCCCCCCCCCCCCCCCCCCCCCCCCCCGTTCGACGATCGCGGCCGGTCCGATCGCAAACCCCCCCCACAGACACACGCACACACACGCACACCAGTCCGACGATCGCTGCTACGGGGTGGGGGTTGCGATCGTCGGGGGGGGGGGGGGGGGGGGGGGCGCAGCTCCTCTGCCTCCGTTAAAGGTGGGGCTGCTGGGCCACCACCCGTTTCTGTTTGCTGAGTGAAAGTCTAATATTGAGTGTAGTGTGTGTTAGTTTAATATATGTACATATACATACTGAGAGTTAGTTTAATATTCCTAATCATTTAACGGAACATCATAAGAGAGTAAAATTCATTTTTGAGTGTGAAAGGAGAATTTTCTAAGGGATCAAACTGCCACTTAATACTTACTTGACAATGTAAAACATGATCAAAATGATTCAAGCAGTTTCCCTTCAACAGTCTGTCATTGTGATTGCACGAGACTAGATTTAAAGTTACGCATTGACGCGAGCAGCGATTTCCTCCCAAGCCCTCTCCCTCTCCTTTGCAGCTGCTGCTGTATTGCACTTTCCTTTAAAACGTGCTGTAATTCGCCGTTGGCTTGCTGCTGCCCCCTCCTTCTCCCTGTTTCCATTGGTTGATCATTGAATCTGCGCTCCACAGATGCTGGCTGTTTATGTCTGGCGTGCACGTGCTTAACTCCAGAGGCCTGTACTACGAAGCTGGATTTGGTCTTAGCGAGATAACTTCTGGATAACTTCTGGGTTTTCTGTACTACGAAGGTGGATCTCTTTTTATCCGGGTCCGTTGCCCCGGTAACTTACGCGGAACGCCAAACCTGCTCCGGAGCAGGTTATGTTTCAGGATAAGATCTCAGCAGGTATAGAAGACCGCCCGATGACCAATCGGATCTCTTGGAAAATGACTTGCCCACTTTTGCCGGATCCCGGGGACATCGTTGCACGGATAGTGAGAGAAGCGCTTCGCCGAGAGCGTTATATTCATGATCGTTCAACTCCGTTTGATTTACCTGATGACGTTCTCTATGAACGTTACAGGTTTTCCTCGGACGGCCTCAATATTCAGGTAGCATGAAGTCTAAGCAATACACTAATATTTGCCAAGCTCCAGGTTCAAATTTGTTAGTCATCATTCAGAATTCATTGAAGCAGATTAGAAAACTCTTAACCCCAAATGTGACTGCAGATGACATGTGACCATCAGATGATGGAGAAAAAAAAAAAGGCAGTGTGAGGAAATCACTGTTTACGCGTAGAAATATGTACAAATAAAATCTTCCAATAAACTTACAAACTACTTAAAAGGATGTTTTTCGATTTATTTTTATTTGCTCCCACGTACTCTTTTCCCCACTGCTGTTGTATCTTAAATAATGAGGTCAGTGATGGTGGTGATCACACACGCTGCATGACAATATATTAGGGGGCCATAAATTTATGAACGCACAAATGTAATTTACACAACCGGTGATTATTTTTGCCGGCAGTTCCTCCGGCTTTTAGCGGCTGTGTCTGTCTCACTGTTTAAATAAAGCTCTGTTCTTCAGCTGTGAAAAATGACGTGCAGCCTTCTCCATTGTGGAGATTGGTCCGGTGGCACTGACCCGACCCCCTTTACGTGTGCGCGCACAGATCTGAACTGGATTCAGTTATCGAGTTGATATCCTGCTTCGTAGTACAGCTGATCGGGATCGCGGAGATCCGGTGAAGTTTAGCGAGTTGTCGCAGAGTTATCCTGGATGTGTTAATCCAGCTTCGTAGTACAGGCCTCAGGTCAAACTACTCAGAGTTGTTAAAACCGTCTCAAATCAGGTGTTGTGAAACCGGAAACTCAGAGTTTCCTAACTCAGAGTAGATCAACTCAGAGTTAAGGATTTAACTCAGAGTTTGTTGAACCACCTACGTGAAACGGACCCCAGCACTTCAGCTTTAAACCACGTCTGCATAACGAGGGAAAACACATCCAATACGGTGATGGCAGCACAGCTGAATGGATAGACCCAACTCTGGTGTTTTGGGCACCGATTACATCTCGCCACCCCAATCAGTATCATGAAGTAAATGATGGTGCATGCATGTGTGTGCGTGATAGTGTATGAGCAGAGAGAGCCTGTGTGTGTCTGTTTGTGTATGAAACAATAATTGCCAGAAAGAACGATTTATGTATAATTAATCTGATAATGTTGACTATGATACAGATTGATTTATTGTTTGTGTTTGAAAAATACATTAGAAGAGGACCATGAAAAAATAATCAAGTATTAAATCGCAATATTGAGGAAAAAATTTGCAATTAGATTGTTTTCCAAAATCTATCAGCCCAGAAATAACCATGTAGAAGTGTTAAGGGATGGACCTCAATCATGCATAGGAAATATCAACCAGATTAATCACTGTCTGAAGGAGTGATAATAACTTCTTGTTTACTGTTGGGATGTGCAACACCCCTCAATGTGGAAAAAGTCCCATATTGACTTTTGATCGTCAGGGTGTGTCTACAATTCACTGTGTGCTGTAAGAAGGGATAAAGTAAAACCCCAAGAGCAGTTCATTCACGTTTGCACCATGAAAATCATGAAAATCAGACATTCAGTGAAATTTTGGACTTCTTGTTTGGATTAGGTCCTGAGGATTTTGTGTAGGTCTAGGACATGAAACATATGCCTTGCTCATGATTTAGAGGTCTCCTATTATGAAAAATCCACTTTTGGGTGGTTTTCTACCAATTATATGCATCCTCTCGAGCCAATAACACCCCCCCACACACATACTTTCCCTTCATTTCTGAAAACATGAGCGTAAACAGGCAAATAAAAAAAAAAAACGGGCAGTCATGATGACATAACCGCAAAAGCCCCTTCTACATGTTGGTGGCATAGCCTCCAATAATCGTTAGCCCGACCCCTCTAAAACTTCTTCGCTGAGGTAGCATCTGCCATTTTTTCCCCTCACATACGCTGCTCTGGTACAGCAAACAATGTCGAAGCTACGACCCAGCCGCTGCATGGTTCTTGGCTGCACAAACAAAGACAGGTGTTTATTTTCTGCCTCCTTTGTCGGAAGATTTGAGGACCCAGTGGATAAATTGTGTTTTTGATGGAATTGTACCCACAACAACTCTGAAAATGTTGTATGTGTGTGCCAACCATTTCACCACAGACTTTTTTACCAACAAGGGGCAGTTCAAAGCAGAATTCACTAAGAAGCTGAAGATAAAACCTGGATCTGTACTGACTGACCGTGTCAGGGACCCGACTTCAAACGTGATAACTGCAAGTTTTACCATAATATGTTACTTTACCGCCGCCCACATGACTAGTGCTTTGGCTGCAATTGCGTGTGTTTACTATCATTGGTATTCATCTTCAGACTCGCTCTTTGTCTAGATAGGTGGATCCTTGACTACAAAGGGTTCAAGGGAAAGTTAGTCGGGGTTCTGAAGTGCTCAGACCTCTAAGCTGTCTGTTTGGTAGGATGAGCTAATTTTAAACCTGCAGATCTCTGTTTTGCACATTCTTGACTCATTGTAGCTCATAAAATAGAGCTTCAACTGAAAACACTTCTGAATCCTCATCTTCTCGTCTTCCCATCAACGACCATGCGGGAAATCTACTATTAATCTACGGTGAAAATCTTAAATCATGACAGCCATACTCTTATATTGTCTGATGTTATTATCCTGGTTTCTACCAAAGCACTCACAGCTTATTTCCAAGTATCTTCAAACCAATAAAAGAAACTTTTTCACATGTATAAAATAAAGAGTATTCTGGGCACCAAAAGAACCTGATCAGAATGTTTTGAACTGAGCACGGAGTCGACCCCAGAAAAAAACCAATGACTCCGCAGCTTCAGGTCATGCCTCTTTGGTTACACCCACATGCCTCTCTGCTCAGAGTTGAAATTCGACTTCAACCCAGGTCACTGCTGCTTTTAAGAGCCTGTCCAATCAGATAACAGATGGCCGAGAGGTTTTACTGCGGAGAAACCATTTCAAAGTTTCCAGAGAGAGATTAGAGTAATATCAAAGCATGAGTCAGCATTTTTTTCAGCATATTTTGCAGTCCTTTTTGAGTAATGTTATGTTATGTAACCTAAATGAAAAGTGGTGGCCTTAAGATCAACTCTTCTCGCTTTACTAAAAGACAGAAAAATGCAGCCCAGTCGGCAGGGCATCTGGAGCTTTATAGAGGTCAGAGTGCAACAGCAGCACAGCTTCTTAGTGTCAAAGTGAAGATATAAAAGGTTCATGAGCTAATCTTTCTATTTATTTCCTATTTTATGAGTGTAAATAGTCCAGTTCTTCTACATTATGTATTATGAGTTGTATACTTTTAACATTGATCACATGCTTTTCATATTTTCTACTCCCGTTCTTATTATCCCTGTTGTTGTCATGCTTGGGCAAAGAGTAATGAGACAGACTACCACAAAACTATCCAGATTATCATTCCACAGAGACGTGGATGTATTGATCTGTACTCTGGTCCAATTTTTTGACATGATTTACACACTAACTGGATGATTAAAAAAAGACATCAACAAAGCTTATAGCCTGAATTTGTTCCTGTTTTGGAAGCAGTCACCCACAGCCCCTTGTCTGAATTTTAATGCTAGAGTGCTGACGGTGTCTTGTCAAAACTGTAAACAGCACTTACAGCACAGCCCCATCTTTTTGCTGAAATGTCATCCCGGGCATAGGAGGAAAATGGTAATTACTCTGACCTAAGTCTCTGACGGATCATGAGCTGACTACCAACTTCATGTCTGGTATCACAACCCACGTAATGATCCCTTGTCTGTTTTGTTAAGGACCTTTAATGACTGCAGACATTTGACTGGTACTAAATCCAGCAGTGAGAACGATGAAATTAAAGCTGCTTTAACAGTTTCTGTCCAAGATTAGGGGCTTCTCTGGTACAGCTGCCAGAAATGACTGTCAGTACAGGGTATCCCCCTAAAGGTGATGAGCCAATTCATCAGATAAGAAGACCTGGATTTGGACTGCACTTTCCAAATCAATGATGCATGCTCATGATGTGTTGCTATGGTAGCTATTAGTCTGAGTGCATTAAAAAGTTACAGTTATTTAATGGTTGTCATTGGTCAAGTGTGTTTTAGTAACTGTGGGCCCAGAATTACGAGTGACACCCTTGATTGTTGCACAAAAAGCAACGCAGAGGGAGAAGGACTGCATGTTATTAGCCCGACTGTCTGAGAGTGACTCCCCTTACCATTCTTAAGGTTTTAGTGGAAACTAAAATTATTTGCAAGCTCTGCACATTTCCAAACACACCACTTGATTCAAGAGCAAAATGGAATAAAATCTGTGGATTCCAAGGGGGGCTGCAAGCTGAGCTGCCATAGGCTTATTTGAACCTGCACAGGTTAATTTCAGCTCAAGTTTCACCACCGTCAAAATGCTGACGATAAGAGCTTCTTATTTAAAATCATCCTGCAAAGCCATTTGTGCATCATGGTCAGAGGTCCCGCCCCTTCTCAATTCTGAGAGAAATTGATGAATCCAACAGGAGTTACGAAAGTTGAGCTTTGTTCAATGCAGAGTGCAACTACAATGACGAACGCTGAGAGAGGTTTTGCAATTAGAATGTGAAGCAGTTTGGCTCTGCCAGCATCGGTTTACATAGCCTCACATTGAGAAACCAGCAGAAGAACCAGTGTGAAATTAGGCTATTAACCCCTGCTGATGGGGTTGGCTCTGCCATGTTATTTAGCTGGTGTCAACAAACTCCAAAGCACTATTTTTAGTAAATGTAAGCTCTTTTGGGGAAATTTTCAGCTCTGTCAGTAGCCCCATTATGCACTATTTTTGGACTTATTCTCCACCTGCAGAGTACTTATCAGTCTATGAGGTCTGTAATGTAAGCACTGATATAATGTCAATTTCTGATATTTTTCCATCTCAGTCTGGCACATAGTAACATATTAACGCTGAATAATAATGGCACAGGCTGCTATTATGTATCACGCTGCAGAATTTATGTGGTGTATTTTTCCATCACATTTCCAGCACTATCTTGTTCAAAAGCAAATGCAGAGTAGATAAACAGAGCACTTTTGCTTGACATTGTTGCTTTTATCCTCCCCATTAGGGTGCCTCTTTCATGTGGATCACAAACTGCAACGGGCCACTAAGAGTTTTTCACAGCTGGCAAAGTCTCCAATCAATTTCAATTAGAGCGTTTTGGAATGCAAACATCCCAGTGGGGAATTAAATGAAAGCTTTCTTTATAAGACAATGGCAGAAGCTTGAATTTAACTCTAACCTTAACTCGGTGGCCTAACAAGAGAATTATACATCAGAGGAGTGAGGCAGAGAGAGACAAAATGCCACATGTAACAAGTCACCCATCCTGAATTTTCCTCCACAACATGAACAGAGGCAGGGCAGAGGGATACGAGCATCACAGAAATGGCTGAACATTTCCAGAGGACATCTGTGTCCTCTGTGAAGTCCCAGCTTCAAAGTCGGAGAAGTCTTTTAAACTTTATTTGAACCAACACTTGTCCCCTCTAACGGGTGTCTGGTATTTAGCTTCACAGATATCATCACTGCCATTTATCAGCCCCCCTGAGCCAAATGTGGTTAGCAGTCTGGGTGTCCAGCATCATACGGCTGTCATCTCAAGGCTTCCTGGCTGAGTGGACTGATGATGAGTTTTGCCTTGTTCCCGATTGACTTCAGGCTTTTGACCACAGCCAGGTCCAGTTTCATCTCTGCGACACCACAAAGTTTTTCTATCATATACTTGGTTGCAAACTGCAGCCGACTCAACTTGATGCTCTTTTCACTTTCTCACACTCGAGCCAGTTTAGAGATGTGCTGCTTTGATTGATGTGCCTCTAGCACCCAAACGTACTGTTTATTCATGTATTCACTTATTTTTGTCTGTTCTTTGGCTTCTTGGACTCCTCCCTGTGGAAAGCCCTTCTCTTCCCTGGTTCAGTTTGTACAAATCATCAGCTGTCAGAAAAATCAGAGCACTCTTGTTTTAGCTTATGGCCTTTCAACTGGAAAGACCTTTGAGGCTCTTCCTCCAACTTCTGCTCCACCAGAATATCCCACATTACACACATGGGTGGAGGAGAAGACTGAATAAATCCTGCACAATTCACTGCAGTGTTTAATCATCTAATGAAGTCCCTGGTGTGAAAATTCAAAGAATATTTGGTCCATTTAGGACTCCTCTTATTCACACTGGTCATAATCTGACATTTTTCATCAAGCAAGAATTGACACTTTGAGTGACTACGGATGGGGACCATTAATATAGATTTATACTGCTGCCATTATTGAGACACCTTAATGATTTGAGTGCTAATTGATACTGCTATCAGGTCTTTTGTTTTATTTGTCTTTGGGAGGAAGAGGAGGATGGCAGCCCAGCTGCAGACAATCAGCAGACAATCAAAAGTAAGACTAGAGTATTTGGGCTTCATTTGATGCACAATGTTGTTGCATTTTGATTCAACACGATCATTAGCTTTGGTCAAATGTAGCCACACTTTGGACCCTTTGCACATTCAGTCTTCAACACAAGCAACTGGCCACCAGAATTCTTCTCTGAGTGGTTTAATACCTATTTGCTATTAAGTAACTTCATTAGACAGTCTACAAATGTGCGTGCACTATTGATTTGATCGGGCTTGATCCCCATCCACAAATGTGTCATGAGCATAACTTACAGCAGAACTCTTTATTAGCATGAGCAACCCCGTGGCTAAAATGGCAGCAGCATGAAAGTATTTAAAACCAAGAAGTATAAACACTCCAGCAGCTACTTGTTAGACATTGTTTCACAAGACAACAGTAGAAAAGCTTGATACAACATTTCAAAAACCAAACATGCGACAACACTCCTGACTTCACTGAGAGCAGACACGGAAAAAAGCAGATTACAGCATCCTTAACACTGACTCTCTGCTAGCCCAGAGTTAAATGTAGCCTGTGCATGAATCTGCAACAGTATTACTACTAACAAAGAGTGCTGCTCATCCCCTTTAAGAGTTAGGAGTGCCTGCAGGCAGATGTATGAACAGTTTACACAGACAGTTCCAGCCTTACTTTATGAGAGCGCGCTGAAACCAGCATATAGCCAACCCTCCTTCTGCTGTGCACTGAAACTGTCACGCCCTCTACTTCTAGGGCCAGATAGGGGCAGCCTCTCTTTTCTCTTCTCCCTCTTTTCTCTTCTCCCCCCTCCCTCTTCTCCTCCTCTCCCTCTCTCTAAGCAGGTGTTGGTGTGATGCAGCTTCAGGGCGGACAGGTGCAGCCACTTTCTAATCAGCGGATCGATCCGTGTGGCGGGGAGAGGAGCGCTCTCATTCATTCACCCGCTGCCATAAAAACCGGACGCTTCCCACAACCCGACGCTGGACCGTAACCTGAAGATCCCTTGCCCACTCCGCCTGCTCTTTCCGCCTGCTCTTCCCGCCTGCGTACCCAGCTCTCCTGCTCTTCATCCCAGCTCCGTCCAGGACGCCGCCTCACGCCATCACCACCTGCCTCTCCCCCTCCAGTCGGAAATCACGGACTGCCTGCTCACTCGCTCTCTCGCTAGCTCTGGTAGTACCCGACCCTGTCTCGCGTTTTGCAGACAGCGCTTTTTTGTTAATTGTTCTGACCCTGTCTCGCGTTTTGCAGACAGCGCTTTTTGTTAATTATTACTGTTCCAGTCTCGCGTTTTGCAGACAGCGCTTTTTGTTAATTATTACTGTTCCAGTCTCGCGTTTTTACAGACAGCGCTTTTTGTTAATTGTTACTGCCCACCTTAGTTCCGTTTTCCTATTTCTGTTTGCATTTTTGGGACCAAATAAATATCTGTTTAATTGAACTGCTCTGACTTGAGTCTCTTTGTCCGCATTTGAGCCTCGGTGCCTGAACCGTGACAGAAACACTCAGAGAACATGTTCACAATTACACATGCAGCACAGCGGCAATCACTTAATGAATTATTCAAACATCCTTACTAGATATCAGCATTGAACAGGATCTAATATTAACCAACATCCCCTCTACTCAACATTAAAGCAGCTGAACAGAGTTTTCATTTTCCATTGTGTTTGAAGGCCACTATGGACAAAAGCGGTAGTGTTTTGCCGAAATAAAGACTTCACATCCCATGTGCTGTTGCACATACTGTCGAGAAGAGACTTTCAAGGTCTTTGGTCTGGTGTGTAGTTGTTTTGGAGGCGAATGAAACAGGACAGGACTTACCGGTACTATGAGTTTTTTTTTTTTTTTTTGTTTTTCTTTTTTGGCTATCTACAGAATGCGTAGTTTCTATAAAATATAATATGCCACCGGTGAAATTAAGTAAATGTTTTACTGTGACTTGTATTTTAAGACTACAGTTAAGTCCCATTCATAACATTAAACCTACAACAAACAGATTAGATAACTCTGCTGTAGATTAGTATATAAAGCTAAAGTTGTCAGCTTTCCTTGGTAATGTTATATCTTCATATCAATAACCAGCAGTGTAAAAAGCACAGTTTACATTACCTGTCTAGGAGGAATAGGGCAAAACTCAGAATCCGACTTGAACCCCATGAAGGACTTACCAATGTTTATCCTCGTTTTTGCCCTCACTCAATCATATTCCCTTTTTGCTTTTTTTTTTTTTGTTCTTCTGTTCTAATTCGTTTTCTTCTTGTGGACCCGGTCCATCCTTCAGTTCATTGCGATCATGCCTGTGTTTGTCTGTTTCTGCGCATGATGGAGAGCATGGTGATGGTCTTGGTCTTGAGTGTTGGGCCTGCGCAAGGTTGAAGTGAAGCTGGTGTGTAAGGAGATTATGATAAAGGAATCCTTATACCGGCAATTTGGAACCAGCACTAAACTGTATGATGAGGAAAATATCGCCTTCTCCAGTCCCTCTGGCCTAATAAACACAAATGTCTTCGCACCAGAAAACACATTTTCTTTTGAGCGTTGGTCCTCGCCAAGTTCTGTGTGCTTTCAGTTTCATTTTATTCCATGTACATGTCTGTATGTATATTTGTATGTTAAACCATCAACTTGCTGAGACTGCAGATGGCAGTTAGCCTCTGGCACATTAATATATCTATGTTCATTAATATGACATTAAAAAAATAGGACAACACACCTCTGGGCACTGACATTGATGCGACTTCATTTATTTACACATCAATGGTGCTGCATGTAAAACCAACTAGTGCGATAAACAGAGAGTAACATTGACACTTTCACTGCATGCCAAAACTGTTCATGATGGGTGAATGAAGAAGTCTTTGGTGTCGCACAGATTCAAACTGTATCTAGAACTGAGTACAAAAACTCAAAGACTAAACAAAACCACAGCTTCTAAAGACACGGAGAACAGGTTGGCTATTGTCTAGCTGTGCATTGCATTTGATTACATCTTTGTAATATTGCAGACGCATTTGTTCAAAGCCACCTGCTGTGAGTGCAGCGATGGAGATAAAACATGAGTTTAAACAAGAACTACATTGATCATACATGCTTTCATGTTATAGAGCTTTTCTCTTTGTATTTCCCATCTGATGTCTGTTTCACTGTCACTCTCAGGGTAGTTTCACATTGTGTTCTTCCTTGTCTGAATGGAAACTCAATTATAATTTCAAAGAAGTACAGCATACTGTTTCACCTTTTGTTTATTTTCCATCAAACTTTTCCTGTAAGTACAGCCAAAAGCTTCTGCTTTTGCATAAATTGCAAATGTGAATGGTTTTTATTTCATCCTTCATTTCTATCATCCATAGTCTGTTCAGTGTTTAATTTTTCAGTTTTGTTCATACTTGTGAGAAAAGAGCCAAGAGAGTAAATAAAGCTCTGTGAAAACCAACACAAGCTTCTGTGCAAATCTGGTCTTTATTTTTAAAATTGTATCAGATCAGATATTTCTTCATATCCTTCCCCCTATTAAAGCCTGCTGTGTGTTTATAAAACCCCTGCCCAGTAGGAAACGTTTGACAGATCGATGCCTCTGTCTGATTCCTTTTTACAGTTTCTGCCCCGATGAGTTCTGGCACCTTGGGGACCTCAAAGCGGCACATGCTGCGTTTGATTTGAGCTGACGAATTGGCCATGACTGAGCCTGAATATAAAAACATCCAGACATTGCTCAGAGGAATATGAATGCTTTTTAGTTTGCTGTTTGTGCAAAGGGTTTCATAAATGAAAAACATTGACTGATTAAACAACACTCATTGACATTATAATGAAGTTTGTACTGTGACAGAGAAAATGTGATGTTCAAGCTGAAGCATCAACATTCAAGTATAAAAACAAGCTAAAAAGCCAATTCCATTGTGTGAAACAATTACTGATAAAACAGAGGTTACAGTAAAGTTCATGTTGCTTTGTCTGCTTTAAATGTCAAGTCCAATTCAACCTCACTGGGCTGATGATCCACTTAACTGTCTGCATGCACTAGTCTTTTTGTTGCCTTATGTCTACACCGAGGAGAATATGTTGGTTTGATTTTGTATTTTTCTTTTTAGCTGGTGGCATTACCTCTCAGAGCTGCTATTTAGTCGAAGTGAGTCCATTTTCACCCTACATTCTGGTCCATAAAGCACCAAGAGTGCCGTCTTGCATTGCCAAACCCATCAGCCTGCTTATATTCATTTCCACTGGCAGGTGGGTCTGGAGCTGCTGCCACTCTTAAATACTGTATTCCCCCTCTGTGCCAGGTATACTGATCCAATCACAGCCCTTTCAAAAAATGGTCTGGGTTTGATAAGATGACAGCACAGGAGCACCACTTCAGCATATTTATCAACAGCCAAGATGGCAGCTTCCACCACCAGAAATGAATGAGCAATGCATCAATGCCAAACAACTCTGGTTAAAGCCCATGCAAACTATGAAGCATGCACAGAATGCCCTGGCCAGTTTCAGTCTGTTTAAGGAGTAAGTGCAAGAGAGAGGCGATCCCGGACTGCTCGGAGAGTTAGTCCAACTATGACAAGTTCATTTTAAGGCAATTTCAGACAGACTTACTCTGCGTGTTTCTGTGAATTATAAAGTCCAGTTTCAGTTGGACTAACTCAATAATTTGATTTTTTGGACTGTGAGAATTGTCTTACAGCATTTGGAAAAACATTACACTTTTTAAGCAGGCATACATTCATTTTAGATGCTTTTCAACAGAAAAGCTCTTTATTACAAACTTTTTGAGGATCTCTGTGTGTTTCAATTGCAGAGGCCAGGGTTTAAATCTAAATTGATCCACTCCTTATCAAGGGGGCAAGGACTTGTTCAACTGAATATAAAAAATACTGGTGGGTATTTGGATTTATGTTCATTGTTTCCATATTGGAGAACGCTTTGAGGTGTTTTATAAGTATCAGGACACAATCCTTTTTTATTATTTTATAAACAGAGAGTGAGACACCTAAGGAAATTACACTAGAGCAAATATTTCCTGTGACCCGGATGTTATCTAACAATACAGATTGCCTATATCCAATGCAAAGTGACTTTTTTTCTTTTAGCGATTAATTCTGCGGCATGCAAGTGACTTCTTCTACCAAATAACTTTCTGCAGACAGCAACCATTCAGCACTTTTAACAATTGCTTAAAATTCCTGGCATATTTGGTAAAAAAAAAACAAGGTTGTCCCTTGTAGTCAAAGCAATTCCAAATTCCTAACAATACAGTTTGGATGTGCTGGAAGAGAGAGGCATGTGCATAACTGTGGTAAGACATTAGAGTCTGTTGTTACATGATCCTGTGAGGGACTTTGTTTGAACAGTCTTTTCTGGACTGCCAACTTTGTTAAAAGGCAATCTACAAATATGGTCACAGTCTGTTTCCAGTAAGAATGAACGGATGCCCAGTGGGGTGCAACATCAACACCACAGGAGCCGGAGCTGCATCCTGGGTGCTTGTGAACCAGTTCGAGCAGAGAACATTTGTTCCGTAGCAGTTTTATACTTCTAATGCTTGAATGTGAAAGCAAAGGATGTCACTCAGTCTGTGCTCTCAGCAGGGAAGTGATGAGCCAGACAAGACAGTCTGTGCACCGCCAAGGCCAGAAATTCAGTTCAGCTGCAGGGGCATCTCTGGGTGTGATGCTGGAACCCCATTGTGAATGTAGTACTAACAGACTAAAAAGAGACAAGACGGTTGGTGCATAATCAGCGTCCCCTAAAGGACTGAATAAGGTAAAACTTTTCAAAGTGCAGTTAAGATTGAGCGGACAGATTGTGCTGACTGCTTTTTAACTACCGGGGGAGGCAGGACCCTCTCACTGTTCAAGGGTTCATGGGCACTGGAAGGCACCGAAAGTTTCCACAAGTTTATCTTGCAGGAATGTGATCCCCATACTGATATAGGGCCAGAGAAACCTGGCTTGACCTCCAGATTAGTTTTTTGAGTGCAGCCAAAGTGAAAGCCTCCCCTGGGCTCGGTGTCGTCTCTACTTTGAGTTTATGTAGCTCAGACCTATCGTAGGTCATTGCAAGGATCAGGCTGTGAGCAGAGACGCACAGACCTGCAGGTTTTTGAATGCCCACAACACAAACAGAAGAGAATAGATCATCCTGCCCTCAAAGGGTCTGTGATGTTGACTGAAACACCGAATGCTGGGGCACGCCGGTCCAAGTACACCCTAAATTAAAAGGTTACGTCTCGGGCGGCCTCTAGTCTGTTGCTCCTTTTTTACACTTTCTCCTTGTTTCCCCATTCTGTCCACTGTCCTGTCCTCTCTAAATGAGAGCAAAAAGCCTGAACATACGTCTTAAACTGTGTCTTAAATTACAACTTTATAGGTTCACCACTGCAGCATCCTTTTTTTAACATTTACAGACGCCCTGTTCAACTTAGATTTTTGTCTCCAGCTGTTGGTTCAAGTCCCTCTTTTTTACAAGTACCTCAAACTCTCCATCCCTCAGAACCGATCTCCAGGCGTTCACCTCTTCATATCATAGATTCTTACAATCTAATAAAAAACATACTTAAATCAATGATCTTCTTACTACTGCTTTTCTGCTTCCTCAATCAACCTGTTCCCTTATGATCAATTTATTCTGCGAGCTACTATGTAAAATGATGTTTCAGATGAGGCCTGCTGTGCCGAGCCATCCTGACCTGCTGATTATTTCCATGATAAAGGCTCCTGCTGGGACAAACTTCATTCCCTGTGCTGGTATTTGGACCTCATCCTTTCTTGAGGGCTGGACTTCATACTCTGAACGTTAACAGAAAGTGAGAGGCAGAGAGTGATGAGGAACCGTCTAAATCAAAGGTTGGGATCTTGTAAATATTGAGCAGCCAATAATATACTTTGGGGGTCTGCCCAGGTGTCCCCAAAGTGGGGGTAATACATCATTTGAAGACATCTCCTCCAGGATCTCTACCTTAAGTTTCACTTTGGCAGGAAGTTTTTATTCCAAACTTTTACACTTAGTTCATGCATGCAAACTTTTCCTCACTCTTTACTCAAATAAATGGCATTTTCTTTTGACAGCAGATGTTTTCACGCCCTCTTCTTTAATCTACCAGGGATAATTTATCATCTTCCAAACAGCTTCAACTTTGGAAAACTTTTGAATGTGATAATCTACCACAAAACCCATAACTTCTCAATCTTCTTTTTGTTCTGGTGGGTGCAATCTGCTCATAATGTCTCAGGATTTAATTCTGGGTTGCATCATCGTCTGGGATTTAATCATAAAGCTCTTTGCCAGCTGGATTTCCCCTAACCTCCATGACAAGGTCTGAAATGCTGCTGATTTAGATAGTAATGAGCGATCACGTTGTTCTGCTGCTAGTATGAAGGAGAAAATATTGGTGCGTAACCGTCTAATTAAACATTTTAGTGCCTCTTAATTATTTTCTGGTGATGAATGAGGCGACTTGATTAATTCAAACTCGCTGCATTCACGACAAATTCTTTTGTTATTCATTCAGCATTGTTTTGGTCAACAAGCGCCGTGCTTGCAGGCTCTATTTTACTCACCAATATCAATATGTCTGGTTTGTATTAAAGTGACGAGATCAGCCCTCCCCGAGGAGAGCTCTGAAGCTACTTCAGACATCCTCACCTGAGATTTGTGTCATAGAGAGCAACAAACAGTATGTTTAACACTCTGCTTTAACTCATGGGTGCAGCAAAACTACCACCTCCATGAAAAATCTGTGTCAGCTCTCCTGAGCTTTGTTTTTTCTTCTGATCGCCACCGGATGTTTGCAAAAAAAAATCACTCAATGAGCATCACAAGATTCATGTTATCTAGGCCTTAGAGTACACCTCATTGAGCCTTACTACCCAAACTGACAAACAAAGAAACCCCTACAGTGAATTTCAATGACATCATTAAGAAAAGCTTAGGCATGAATGTTAATCTTTGGATTAACAGGACCGGCAGCTCTGTGGTGCTGTAACTCTTCAGTAAACACCAGAAAACAAAACCACAGGTTGGAGGTGGAAAACAGATGCAACCATGCTGAAATCATAAATCTGTTTTGGTCATTAGTGAGTGTAAATACAGGCCCAAGGGCGGCACCAATGACAGGAAAACATGGTCTCTGCACTCAGCCATTGTTTTATGGGGAGACTTTACAGCACAGTTGCCAATTGGTCAAAAAACATGCAAAGAAGTGCAGCTTAGACAGACCTTAAAGGGATATTCCAGAGTAAAATTAATTTAGGGTCAAACACACCGTAACACCGAGTTCATTTCTTTATCATTTCCTTAAAGTAATAATCACCATATTAATCATTTTGCACTGCAGACGCGGTCGGTCTTCTGCCTTAGAGTCTCGGTCTGATTGCATTTCCACGAAGAAATTATCATAAATGTTCTTCCTTGAGCGGCGTCACCCTGAAGCAGACCGTAAGGGACTGGCCTGAGGTCTTGCTACAAACAAGCAGCTGCTGGAAGAGAGTTGGTGAGTTGTGTTTAGTCTCTTTGCTAAAGAAATTCGGCAAAGTTAAAAAAATGTTTGGTGGCTAGTTCTGTGGCTGGGACCCCATATGTATGTTGATGAAGTTAGGTGCTGTTCTGAGCATTATTTGTGGCTATAGAGTGGTGTTTTGGTCGAGGTTTGTTTGTGGCTCTTCAGACCGCTCTGTATTGCTATCATGCGGTCATTACTAAAGTTGGTATAACCTGAGAAGCAAGCAGTCTGCAACATTCATCTCTCGAGGGGGTGTCTAACTCTGTGTTATGGTGTGTTTGACCCCAAATTAATTTTACGCCGGAATATCCCTTTAAGCTACCCTGCAAACAGCTTCAGCTTACCCAACTCAGGCATGCCCTAAATAAAGCCAAATTGCACTTCATTCATATCACAGTGTACATCGCAGAAAAGCAAAACTATTACATGTTTTTTTTTTCTTTTTTCCCCAATATGCAGATAATAAAGCAACATAGGTCCTGCTGGTCTCTCTTCCTCCTCCCCTCAGCTCATATAACTTCAGGATAAGGCATTTGGATGTCATATCCCAGACATGACCTGCTCCAAGCAGGTGATTTTATGCCTAGAGCAGTGATTACCACTCCACAGTCATCAAGTGTCAAGATGACCCTTTAAGACCTTCAATATTAGTCTGAATGTAGCACCAGAAACTCTCTGGGTAGAAGTGTCTCCACCAAGGTTTTCACTTTGACCCAAAAGTTGTAGTCTCTAAGTTATCTGTCAATGTGGAAAATTCAACCTGAGACTGGTATTAGATGAAATTTCATGTAATCACCAAAGTCATAAGGGACCATCCTCCGGTGATCAGGTACAGCAGGATAGATTTCTAGGGGTGTAATCAACCAAAGAAATTCTTGGTCGACAAAAACCCTGAAATGACCCTGAAATTGACTAATGGGTGGGTGGGTTGGGGGTGGGGGGTGGGGGGGTCTGGCAAGAAAACCCTTCTGCGGCAGGGGATGACTCGGCTCAGGGGAACACTGCTAAGTGGGGTGTAAATATACTGATATCAGCACAAGAGGGCAATTAAACACGACTATTATGTTCAGCAAACTACCTGGCGTTGATTAACGTGGACGTTCTTTAATCCTCCTGTCTCCAGCCAGTCTCTAGTGTGTTGGGTGAAACTAAAATGGTGAAAACAAGGGGGTGTTCTGAGACAGGCTGTTACCTGTGAAACGGGGGTGCTCTGAAAACACTCCCATTAGCACTTGGTACATTTCTTCTGATGAATTTAACCATAAACTGTCAATTGACGCAGAAAAAATCGAGTCGAACAATCAGAATTTTGGTCCACTCAGCACGCATCGACCAACAAGTCGACCAGTTGAGCCCGATGGATTTCACAGTAATCTGGTCATGAACTGTGGAGACATTTCATTCTTAAGTGTTGGAACAACTAGTCAACCAGTGTCACAACCTCTGCAATCATGCAACCAGCTTGGTTTCGTATCGCCACCTCCCACTCAAGACAACAACACTGACGGTCTGTAATTAGAGTCCTGCTCACCTGTAATTATGTTGTCCAGAAGTGTGGTGGGCATGCAGAAAATCCCGACCAGCAGGTCACTCACAGCGAGGTTGAGGATGAACAAATTGGTGACGGTGCGCATGTTTTTGCTCCTTAGAACGATGAAACACACCACGCCATTTCCCACCATGCACACGAGGAAGATGAGCAGGTAGGACACGATGAAGATGGCTGCCGTGGACGGCTGATGCAGGTAAAATCCGACATATGTGATGTTGTTCCTGGGTATGACAGGCTCCTCGGTGGAGTTGTAAAACGTCCAGTTGTAAAACAGCTGAGAGGAGCTGTTCTCCGATCCTTCATTCATTTTAAACCTGAAAACACAGACACACAGTTACGTGACTTCATGATGAATCTGTCACATTTTAACTGAAAGCACAATCAGCATGTTCGAGAGTGGGAATATTCTGACTTCTTTGGTTCTCAGACAAAACTTTTCTGACTCAGTCGTTCAAGGATGCAAGAACTTGAGTTTTCAATGAAAAACCTTTATAAAAGTACATATTTTAGAGAGCAGAAAAAAGCTTTCTGTAATCTTGCCTAAAACCCTTCAGGTTAAGAAACAGATTGCTGGAGGAGTACTCTATGAATTCTTTTACATTCTCTATTTTCTGTATTTCTGAAAAGTTCTGAGAAGACTCTCAATCACAGGAAATGATGTAACAAAATTTCTCTTAAATCCTGTAGTTGTAATCTCCAACTGATGGACCAAATTATACACGGTTATAATCCACTAACTTTGAAACTGTCAACAGAGGATGATCAAAAGAGAAATAATTCACTTGAGCATGATGATTGATCACATGATGATTGTTCTTAGTCCAGTAAACCATCACAGGCAGATTCCCTAAACTGGCTGGACTGCCACCAAACAGGAAACAGACACCACAAATACTTTTTCTTGAATCCATTTGATTTGTGTCCAAACTGGCACAAAAGCCCCTGAGATAAAGACTACTGTTTCACACAAAGAATAGAAGTGATTAGTATAATATTCCCACTTTGCTGAAAGTCACAAAAACACTGAAGTTTCTTTAGTTCCTTATTATGTTAAGAGACGTGGGTTTTGAAGCCCCTTCTGACCCTCCACACGTGGAGGTTGTGACAGTGGACCCAGAAGCTATTAATGGATAAGTCACCACAAAGAGGCATCCTCTGGTCTTGAGAAATACTGTTGAGCCAATAGGCAAGTGCTGAAAACTGCAGTTCTTTTCATGTCCACTTGAGGCTGACTTTCAAGCTCACACACACACACACAATCTAAAAGCAAGAACAAACACATTTACAGCCTGGTGCAAAAAGCCTGAATGGGGGGGGGGGGGGTGTGTTATTCTGTCTAAGGGTTATTACAGTTCAAATATATATCTTGATTGACAGGTGGACAACTGTAGCTGTTAAGACGGTGTGTACTTCATTAAAAATATGGAAAACCCAAAATTAGTCTTTTACTACACATAATCAAACACAAAATACCAAGAAAGAAAGAAAGAAAGAAAGAAAATACTGTTTTGTTATTCACTGTTCATATGTAAATACCATTATTCCTTGCTAGCACTGTAACTCAAACAACAAACTAAGACTCTACAAACCCCTGCTAAGCTAATACAGGGAGACCGTTTAGATGAATTTGTATAATCGTTGTAAACCTTTTGTCTCATTTCTGGTAATGTATGTTAGTGCTCTATCTTAAGGCTGGAGCTGTAAGTAATTATTTAAGTACATGTATGATTCAGTCCCATGGCTTGTCTTTATGTGTATATGTGTATATAATTCATTCTTATGACATCCGTGTGGTCCCACTGCTTCTCAGAAATCAGACAGCCTCAGCTCCCCAGTGTGTTTCATTACTTTGACAAGTTAATACAGTAAGTAAGTGCTCATTTAGATCTCAGACAATGTGACACATTTTTAATTAAGGTTAGAGGAATAAAGCCAACCACTATCCATCAGGCAGGAGTTGCTGCCTTGAATTAAAGGGGAAAGTTACAGATCTGAGGCTGAAAAGTGGGTGCTTTTTTAGGAGTTTGCCTCAACAGTGAGCTGCACTGAAATGAGTTCAACCTTTGCACTGTGGAGATGAAAATCAGGAGTGACTGTTGATTGAAATGAAGCATTGCTCTCTCTCTGCCTCTGCATCAATCTCTGATGTTCAATGATTTATCTTAACTTCATGATGACTGAGTGCATGCTTCCCCTCAGCTGCCCTCATCTACTGAAGCTAACCATTTTCAAGACTGCTTTGAATGGCAGAGAGGAGAGGTGCTTCGTTGAGGAGAACTGAGGTAAAAGGAAGAACGGCGGCAGAATCAGCAACAGATCCTCAAACAAGAGTAAGGCTGGGATACTTCAGCTGCTAGAGAAACCAGAGAGTCATCATAATGTCTGATCATCTGATGGTTTGCAATGGAAACATGACGTTTAGTTTTGGCTATAAAACAAGTTCAGGGATGTCAGTTTAGCTGCGCTGTGCAATTGCATGCCCTAGTCAGCAGGACTCAAATCAAGCAGGTCGTCCTTCGACACACATCATTTGCCTCTGTCTTTGCAATTTCCAGCTGTATCTATCCATCATGCTATCCTGCAAACAAAGGCATCAAAAGCCAAAAGATGCAGAGCTGACTGAGCTTTTATTTTTTCAGAATACATTACTTTTTCATTGACAAGAGCTCCAAGTGGATGCACATCCATACATTTTACCAACTCCATTTCAACACTAGTATCTACAACAGGGCATTAGGGCCACAGTAAAGAAAACAAAAATGCCCAAAAAGTTAAGTTTACAGAATAAAGTCATGAGTAAATCAAGTCAAAATACTACGAGAATAAAGTCAGCATGTTTTATGATTAAAATCATAACATCAGGAATACAAAGTCATCAATATAATCGACTAATAACCATTTAATGCTGTTTTAAAGAAGGGGACCACAAGACTGGCTTTTGCACAGTCTTTGCAGAATCCTGATACCTATAGGGATGTGGTGCTGAGGTGTTTAAAGATTAGGAACAATTAACGAGAAGTTAAAACCTTTGCACACACAATCTGGGTTTTTTAGCAGAAACGTTTAATAGTGACAGTGATTTTATAGTTCTTTCTCTCACTGAAAAAGCTAAAATACAGGATCCATCCTTCCCTGAAGAAAGGATGGTTTTATCCACAGATATTGAAGGTGTATAATAATCCCGATCGCCCCCAGGTTTGTTGCAGGATGTCAAAAATGTAACCTTATATTAAAAAGATGACCACCCATACTGGTGGAGTTATTGTTCCTGGCAGCATAAAAGTGTCCAAGGTTGTCCATATCTTCTTTCTTAGAAACCACTCACAGCACACTGGGGAGCACAATGGAGGAATACAAGAAAACGCTAAAAATCCAACTCAAACGGGAGTTTCTGAGTCAGTGTGCAAAAGTGAGATAAACGTGTAACAATGACATGCAACATGGAAAAATCTACAAACAGTAGAACGATGCATGGAGGTAGAGAGAGTTTGTATCAGCTGTGAAATAGTCACTGTAATGTGACAAAATTTCACACTCCTCTGACTGGCAATTTCCACCGCATGGCTACGAAAAGGCCGTATCCGCCGATCGTAGCTAATCGTAACCATTCAAGTTAATGTGTCAATTTCCACCAGCTTCTTTCCATTTCGCTGTGGATCGCCGGATTCTGCAGCTGATCACAAGAGTTTAATTTTTCCCAAACACTAGAGCATGCCGGATAAATTCAACACAGATTAGCCCGTGCTAGTAAGGAAGTCTGGCACAGACACAAAATAAAACACCCGGCTTCTTTTCAAAACAAACAAGTGAAAGGTTTATAGACAGCATGTCACCCCGATGACACCATGGATAAGGAGATGCTGATTATAGAAGTTTAGAAGTAGATTTCCTCCTCTGGAAGGACACAATCTACCGCTTATATGGTTAACCTATGTGGCTAAAGACAACTTGATATCATGCGATTGCACGTAGATCCACGGGTTCTTGTGAGTTCTCGCGATTCCTGCTGTCCATAATCCGCCACGAAATTCGCCTCACAAACGGATACAGTAGGAATTGGCGGATGGTGAAAATCGCCGCTGTTCTGGTGGAAATCCCTGGTAAGTCGGTCTGTGATATGTAGACCCATCTTGTATTTTGACAGATTAGATTCGCAGTTATGATAGAAAACAGTTAATTATTTACTGTTTTAAAAGTCATTTTAATCTAAAACCTTTTGCAGCTCTGAGTTTTACTTCTGTTTACCCTGAGTTACTTGCTGTTCAGGGAAAGAACAAGTTGTTCACAAAGGACGGTCTAGTCATTCCTAGAAGAAGAAGAACCTCAAGAGCTGCTATCAGTGTGTAAAAGAGATTATATCCTAATAAGACAGGCAGCAGACTCTATCAGTATGTGAATGGATGAGTGGTTGAAAGACGAGAGACAGAGCAATCTAAGTCCAGTCCATTGATAATAATAATCTATCAGCCTTTTCGTACTCGACTATAATCAGAGGTCTTCTCAGTTCATGTATAGTCAAATTACTGCTCCAGTTCAATGACCCAGAATCCATCAACGACTCTGCTGTGATGTAGACCGGACTTAAAGATGCACTCTAGTAAAAGTTTGCTTTAATTTAATTCCTTCATAGATTTTTTTACATTTTTTTAAATACAAAAATAAGGGAAAAAACACAGATTCTTTCAGCTCTGATGCAGTAAACCTGATGTGACTGAAGTCAAAGATTAATGCATTTATGTTGTTACTGTCTCTTTAGGTAAACTGTAAGTAAGCCATCACAATTCCAGCAACTTTTTGCTTTTCTGCTGATGGAAAATAACAGAGCTGTGCTTTTGAACGGCATCTTTATGCCCAACAGAATCAAGATACCACCAAAGTGCTTAAAGTTTGAGTTAACACTTTCAAGTCAAGCATACAAAGCCTGGTTTATTCCTCTGCATCAGACCATGAACAGTAACATTGGAGAGTCCATCTCACTCTGTAATACTCTCTGCGGTATTTTGATGTCTGTGTCTCAGTCCAGCTATGTTCCCTCATTATTTGTGAACAGGAAACTATGGTGACTGAATCACAGTGTTTGAGTTGAGGCTGATAACTGTTGTGCAGCAGCTGATCATGCTTTAATGATTGCAGAGAAAAAAGGGGGGCAATATCAGGGGAGACCGACAACAAAGCTGCTGAAGAAGAAGTGATAGGGTGCAGAGCTACACAGACCTACGGTTTGATACAGAAGCATAAACCAAGCCTAAGGCTGAGCGATATCCTCATTTTTGACATGCAGAGTGCAGTCAAATGCTGTACCAGCAGGGCAAAACTTTCAGGGATGCAAGATCTGTATAAAACAGAGAAAGCTGGAGCCCCTGAAAAGTGCAAATGCTGTTGCATTAACGAGGGATCACTGGACATCCGTGAGTGACTAAATTACCTTCTCTGACAGGAATTCCTTTCTATTATTGACAGCAAAGTCATTTAAAATTACAGTATGAAGAAACTGAATTATTTAGTAATTTCTACAGATCAGATCTCAAAACTTGCTCTTGCTCCCTCCTGTCGGTGAAGCGATAGTGGCCTTAAGGACCAGATTCTCCTGTCATACATTGAAGGTGCGATCCTCCATTAACCATAAAAAGTGTTATTAATTTAAACTCTTGCACATTTTTACCGCCCGCTAAAAACGAAAGGGCTCGTTATTTATCTGCTGCTGTTGACATGTGGCGGTGCAAGATGGCAGCCTCCAGGGAAGCACACCTGCTCTTTCTGCGGACATAAAAGTTAAATTCTAAGTTAACATAAAGAAAACAGTTTATTAATTTACATGATCATATACTTATTTTGACTTATATATGAATACTGACACCACTGTTCTTACAATGGACTGCATTCATTACTGTTAACTGTTGCAGTTTAGTGATAAAAAGTGAATCTAAAAAAAATTAAAGTTGGATGGAGGAAAACTAAAATTTTAAGAAAAACTAGAAGACATTTTTTTTTTCTATTTTTAGCCAAGATACCCGGTGTAAGTGATTAGAAATTCAAGTCCAAAACATGCGATTTTCTACAGACTGGATCTTTTTTAGGAATCTTTAAAGCTTCTCCCTAATGGACGGTCTTTGAAAGTAAACAGGAAATGTTGTAAACTGTTTTTACTGCCAGCGTGCCCTGAGAAATGAGAGAATTACTGTTGTCTGCAGGTGGATGGCACATAAGACCCAAAACATATCCGCATACCCATGTGTGGCAGCTGCTCCTGAAGTGCACGTATTGTTGAGTGGATATTCCTCCCTGGGGCAACACTGAATAAACAGCTGTGACAGAATCTACCTATGAAATTAGGTGAGAGCGAGCATTGAATCAGTGCAACTGCTGTGGTTTTGAATACTGCTGATCACACCTGATTACCTCTGTGCTTAATCATGCCTGATTGTTCATGTGTCAGTAAGAACAGCAGCACGGGTGAAAATCATAAGAAACTGATTTGTTACTCGTCGAGCTGACAGTCTTGCCTCCGCCGATGATCTTGAGTATTTCTTCATATTTCCTCAGCCTATTCTGTTTGACAATCCTTTCTTTATGGTTACACAGAGATTATGAGGATCTGGAGCCATTATTGTGGAGAAAATCTGTACGTAACCAACGGTGATGAACCTCACAGTTGATAAAATAGCACAATAGGCTTACTGCTGCTCCCTCCTTCTGAACGAAATGATAAAAAATAGGCGTGAATAAAACATGAGAAGGCTAATAGAGGGTGTACGGGTGGCTAATTGAAGTAACGGGGGCTGCATGGATTGAGGGAGCTCTTTATTGTGAGGCCAACTTGGCAGATTTAATGACTAATTTATAGAGCTGTGGACATGTCCGGGTGGTCTTTGTGGGTTTAAGGGATCTGAGGTGAATATGCCTCTAATTATTTCTGAAATAATGCACACTCTTAGCTTCACATCACTGCAAATGACCAAACCGATTTGCCGCCTCCTCTTGAAGCACATGCACGACTCATTTCAGGCCAATGAAGGACCAACGCCACCATGAAATTTGATTTGTGTTCACCCTGAAGGATAAAGGACATTTCTCTCTGGATTAGATTTATTTGGATGTAATGAACAGAATCTGTGGGATTTAACCCAATTTTACCAACTCCCCTTCATCTGAGACTCAAATCTAATATCTCTGATCTTATAGTGAACATGGAAAGAGAGAATTAAATGATTTTCCATTTCATCTGTCCCCAAACTGGCTGAAACTTTGTAAAACTGTGAGGATTTGATTTACCTTGGTCTAATAAATTCCACTGAGGCTTGGGCACTTATACATGTTTTATCCTCCTTTGAACAAATTCAGCTGTGCAAGATCCTTCTTTCTACCTATCTTACATATCAAATTAATAACAGTTGTCTAAGATACAGGTCAATTGGAAGTGTACTGACCACAGGGGCTGTGGGATGTTTCCCTTTATTAGATAGGACAGCTGAAGAGAGACAGGAAATAGATAGATAGATGTACTTTATTGATCCCAAACTGGGAAATTCTCAATGTGGGAAGTAGAGAGGGGGAATCACATCTCCTGCAACTAAGACCACAACCTGTACATGGGGTGCACCTGGGCTGCTAGGCTATTGATTCCCCATACTTTTGCATTTCAATTGGATTTGATTTTAAGCCACAAATACTCAACATTATGCACACTGCAATTCTGCAACAGCGCTCAAACTGCCATCATTACGCCTTTGTATTGGAGCACTGAACCCAGTATGTTGTTATATATAACCACCTTGAAGTCGCAGTATGAGCACCAAGTCTGTACAGTTTATGACAGCTCAGTACTACCCCTTTAAGAGCTAACAGTTCAGTCCCTGAGGTTCATTGGTCTGACTGTTCATTAAGGTTAAATGTTTCTTAACCTGTGTGTTTCACTCAAACCTTTCACTCAAGCAGGTTTCAGTTTCCTTCAGCCTTCCTCAGAAGACTCATTAGATGATCTGACATTTGGTCATCCTACCTGAAGCGGCAGGTCAACTGTAACCCTATTGTCTGACAGTCCTAGGGTCTATGACAAGCTGTAAGCCCTGTCATCCCAGTTTACCATCGTCTGATATCTTTTCTGATCTCCACTGTCTCCCTTATCAAACTCTGGGTATCTGCCGCTCTCTGAGTGGCCCGCCTCTGCCTTCCCCTAGTAAAGACAGGAGGTTTTAAAAATGAGGCCACTCTTCCTTCAGGGCCTCTTTGGTCATTTGGATGAACTGACTCAGTTTGAAAAATGGCTAACAGGTTGTAAATTGATATGGTTTACTTATTTTGTGAACCATGGGTTGTGTCATTATGCAATTAAAAAAAATGTGAGAACTGAAAACTTACTTTGAAGATTTGCTTCAGCTTGATTTTACCTGATTGACCTTCTGAAATTTCAGTAAGTAGGAAAAAAGCATAAAGCATAAAAACAACAGGGAGCTCTAGTGGTGCATGATGCAGACTGCAGCTGTAAGTGAACCACTACTCAAGTACTTAAGTGTTACCAAGTCCCTCAAATGGTTGCACAAGCCCAAGCTTTGTGCGCATGTACATGCACTCCTGTATCACCTGGTAACTTTCTCCAGCCCTTAAGTCAACACAGATGTTTCTCCCCTCTCCTTCAGTCTTTTAAGTCCTGTTGTTCCTCAATAAACTCATACAGATGTCCCTCTGTGCTTTCTGACAGCTAACTATAGTTTACTAACTGAACGCAGTTTCAAATGGCATGTACACTTACTCAGACATATGTGTTTAGTTGGAGTTCTTTAAAAATGAGCTCCATTGCATGGTAGAGATGGCCCAGTCTGCAGCAGCTGACAGCCAAATTTGCAGTATTCTGGTTTTCTCAACAAAGGGGCTGAGCTGACCTGGATCCCTGAGGGGAGTGCATTAATTATTGACAGTACCTCATAAAACCCCACTTCAAATAAACCGAATCATCGCTTTAAAAGACATACTGAGGGCTGGTGTTTGTAAATACAAAGACACATTTTACTCTGAAGAAAAATCTGATTACATTGATCTGATTAAATCTGATTAAGGAGGCTTTGATTGCATCCTTCTCCTCTTTCTCTATTATTCATTCATAAGCTTGGGGTATTGCCTACACTTCTATCGCCAACACTATGGAAGTTCATCTTTCATCAGCTGCCAATGCTTCCATAATGAGATTGATTTGTCCAGAGAGGAGTCAGTGCAGTGTGGTTGGTACAGTACTTTCTGCTCACTCACAGAGCCGTCACACACAGGGTCTGAGTCGATATATATGCTGGTAAAATGTGTCTCTGTGTCAAAGTGCAGATCCCTGCAGTCATTCTGGGTGATCAATGGAAATCATTACCATCCAGGGAGGTGTAAAAGGGCTCCCAGAGGCTCCTATTTTTTCCCATCCATAAGGGAATAACACTCTCAGCAGGTGGTTAAAACACTCATTCAAAACCTTTGATGGGTTGATGGCAGAGTACCATAAGCTCAGTTTTTGAGAGGGTCATAAAATCCTGGGTTCCGAGCTTGCTGACAAAATATTGAGGCTGAATCAGATGTAGTTTCTTTTAGTGTCTTTCTTCATTAGTGACAACATCAATCATCAGTACAGTTGATCATAACTTACAAATCCACAAAAAAAAAAAAAAGAAATGAAGAGGTCAGAAATATGCTTTGTCCACAGGGGGGCACAAAAATCAACACAAACACAAAGTAAGGGTTGTTAAAAGTCCACCAAATCAATGTTCTGCTAACAAAAAGGACGCATGTACAATAACAACCAGACAAAATTAGGCATTTGTATTTCCTTATTTAATCTGATTTTTCTAGGAATATCCAGAGTCCTGGCTGAGACAGCACCATAAACGGTTTCATAAAACCAGATAAACACCTGTGCAGCAAGTACTCAAAGACGCTTATCAATCTATCATCATCCTTCAGTATTAAAACATGCACATCAACTGGTCAGATGATCCTTCATCCAAAACATAAGATAAACAAGCCTTGAGATGGCGGGTGAAAGAAAACTGACTGCCTGACTGAAGATGTTTTGAGTTTTGATGTTTTACCTCACTCTTATCTAAATTGTGAGGTCCCACAGGGATCAATATCAGGACTAATTCTGTTCCAAGTTCTAAACCAATATGACAAATTACCAAAAGTTGCCATTACTGCAGTGGTGTCTCATGCTGCCAAAGATAAGTACTCACTTACTAGTAAAGTACTTTACTGACAATGATGTGAGGGACGTGGGAAGAACCACTGGAGTTTTTTTTAACAGCTTTGACAAACTGAAATTTTGTTGATTTTGCAAAAAAAAAACAAGACTTTTCTTCCTGACGTATTACCTAAAACCGACTAAGATATGTAAAGGAAAGAAAGAAAGAAAGAAAGAAAGAAAGAAAGAAAGAAAGAAAGAAAGAAAGAAAGAAAGAAAGAAAGAAAGAAAGAAAGGATCAAGAATATTGTAAATGTTTGTAGTTTTCCCAGTTTTGTAACCAGTGCCAGTAGGTAGACTCTAAACTATGTCATAAATGTCTGATCACATTCAAACATAGGACAGCCATCACAGGAATGGCAGCTGCACAAGACAACACTAGATACAAAGTGCTTGGCAGATCCTTCTTTACAAGCTCACTAAATCTCACTTTACTGCTACGCTGCTGATGTGCTGCGTTATCTCCAGGTAAAACTTAACCCCACTGCAAATGTCTCAGAGCTCACAAGTTTTCTGTCATAAACCAACCAACCAAGTCCTGAACAGAAAGGGAACCAACAGAGGACTGAGTGGCAGGTTGCATCTATTTTGGACCAATGATCAGTATCTGTGACATTCAGAGTCAAAGAAAATGTCTGAAACGTGGGAGTGACCGTTGACAGGAACCTCACTTAAGTGAAACATACAAAGTCATCCAGACCTGTTACTGTCACCGCGGAGAGATCACCAAATTGAGATTGACACTAACTTATAATGAAAATCAAGGATATATGGTTTTATCTACTTATGATTAGATGTTTGTAATGAACTAAAAGAGGAAAATACAATCAATTGACATGAATTTCACCAAAACTGTACTCATTACTGTGGTTGTTTCTCTTAAATCCAACATATCTTGAGATTTTGTTGTGTACCTTATTCTGTTCCTGCATTATTGTTGACATTATTTTTGGACTTTTGTGTTTTGTGTGCACTTTGTAACATATGTTTTAAAGGGCTCCAAGAAGAAACTTTACAATTAGCATTGTTATTACCATTATTGGGTTTAGCTCGGAGTCTAGTCATCCTGTGAAGCCACAAATCTTAGCTCATGTACACCTAACTCTAATTATGCATACAACAGAGCAGAGCTCGCTCTGTCAAATCAGAGCTCCCCCTCTGTCACACTCTCCTTATTATCACACCACACTCCAGTCTCACTGATATCATCCCGCTAAAAAAAAGCTGCTAATAGGCTGGACACCAACACTATCCAGATGTCCTGGAGTTCAAAAAAAGATTCCTTGTGCAGCTATGGCTGTCACCAAATGAATCCCATAAATCCTTTAAAATGACCTTTTAAGACACCTAATAACGGGAATAATCCATCACTATAGCCCCCTTAAGAATTATCTAAACCCGTGGGGAAAGGCAGCAATGAAATCACAAACCTGCACCCACACAAGACCTTTCTGATTTTCTATTTCACTTTCATGTAATGAGGTTTTTGCTTCCGATTGCAGCAGAGAAAAGGTACAGAAATGACAAATTTAGACCCACTGCCTGATCAGGGAGTGTATTTTTTAAGGCTACACTGAGCATATTGTCCACAGTTTGACACATCTCATAGATTCCACTTCAGTAGCCAGCGTGATCAAATGAAAACTGTCAGGAGAGCCCGATGGACGCTCAGAGGCATTTTGCACAGCACGTTTGGATAAATCACATCATGTTTTAGGTGAAAGTCGACCGAAAATAAGTACTTTTGAACTTTTTATTCCTGCTCATCATGCACCGACCTCCTCGGGCAGATTTAACCCCAGTCCTTAGAGACCATCATGCTGCATCTACGCCCCTCTTCCCCCTCAGCACCAAGAGAGGCTCACTCACACACGAACTGTTCGGATTTACTCCCCCTCAGAGAAAACTCAGACCGGCAGCCTGAAGACTACGGGGATGAACAATTAGCGCCAACAATGTGCGCATAAAGCAGTTTTTACGTTTCACATGCTCTGTAAAGACCTTTGAGCTTCTGATTGTTCTCCTCTGCTGGAAGTTTGGACATGCGTCAAGTTGGACGCCTGTGACCTGGATGCAAGCGCCAAAAGCCAAGTCAAGCATGACAGAGTGATCCTTGACAAAGAGGTGTCTGTGTCCGAATGGTGATCGGTGCACCGAAGTGGAGAATAATGGCTGAATATGCAGGATGAGCAGGAGAGAGGACAAGCCGCGCACAGAAACACTAACTGACTAGAAAAAGGCTTTCAAGAACTCAGCTACATGATTCTAACTTCTGATCTGACGGATAAATATCACACTTGCGCATGCTGATACAACTCTTTCAGCAGTTTATAAATCTTTTTATTGATCTTACCTTGGTTTACTTCAATTTAAACTGATGAAAAGTAATGGAAAAGTAAAAAAAAAATGGAGAAAGGAGCGTCCCCTCTCCTCTGTAGAAGGCATGTGTAAGTCATAGATGGAGAAAAATCACGGACGGTCATTGGCGCGTCACGATCCCGGGCTGTGTACACTATCAGTCCGGCTTCATGTGCGTAGCCGGTACGCGCTTCATGTGGATCAGGGATGCGCTCAGGCAGCCGCTCGGAGCGCGAGTGGAGCGTTTTCAGCCGGAGCCGTGCGTATTTGATGCTGTGACGTCGAGAGAGGGGGGAGGGATGAGCAGGCTAATGGTGGAGTGATATCCCCTGATCTCTCCCAGCTGCTGTCTCTGAAATGTCAAGAGTCGACGATTATGAATAAATAAATAAATGAAAAGTCAGATGTGATGGTGATGATGAAGCAGCAGGTCGCAGATGGTCTGAGCCTCGGTGATGCTGCGCGTTTAACTGAATGACTGGATGCAATTAAGCTGCGCTAAGAGGATTAATGCCGAGAGTATCCAGTGGTTTCGTTCTCAATCATGTGCAGAAATACAAATTATAGCACGTGAGGGTGGCTGTTAAATGCAATCACACTGAAATCCTAAAATTCTTTAATGACCATTGAACAAATAAAATGAATAATTTCACTTCCCAGATCAGGTATTTATAATTTCTCACATTTTCCCCACTGAGATTACAGCCAGCTGTCCTTTTTACACATAACTAAAGGAAACATATGTCCTCTATTAAAGCACTTCTGTGTCTGAGGTCTATGACTCTGAATAAAACAGAATCAAATGTTTATTCGTTCCATACATCATGCCAATCTCAGTACTGGGACACCAAATGCAAAAGCGCTTAATCATATTTCATCACAGCCAGAGATTTTGATTTGCATATCTGGTTAAGAGCAGAGCTTTGTTAGTGGCTGCAGCTGTCACCAGGTTCAGCACAGCTTTAAAAAAGAAAAAGAAAACTCACCATGGGTTTCAAGCTCCAGAAAAAACTGAACAATGAAAGTTAGACAGGAGCAGTGAAGTTTGAAATGTGTAAATGTGCAGGCAGCTGTTGAAAAAGGCCACAAAAAGCAGCAGGTCGGGTCTTTGTGCTCTGTTGCCTTGATGGAAAGTCGGCCTCTTTTTAGCGCTGTCGGATTTCTGTTCCACTGAGGGGCCGTTTCACTGATCAGGACCTTTTAACTGATAACAAGTCTTCATAGGAATGTAAAAATGCAGGGACTGTAGGTTAAACAGCTCTGAGATACAGCAAACTGTATCACTTTCAAAGATTTTACAGCAAGATGGAGACATACCCAAACTTTAACACACACCAGTCTGGGATGCAGATAGGCAAGCCAGTGAGATGGTGAAGTAAGTCTAGTGTAGACACGTCTATAGTTTAGGTGTCTTTGAGCAAGTCAGGGATGATGTTAGCAACTAAGATGACTCAACTCCTAGAAGATATTTTAGTGTGTATAAGACACCTGCAATGTTCCACCTCAGCAGAAGCAATGTCCATCTCCCCTACAGAGGTACAGTGTGCTGTTACACAAGAGACGCAGAGTTGTTGATCATTCAAATCTTCGAACAAGCGGACAACATCAGTCAAAATCTATTAAATCTTATTGAGTTTCCCCACACAGTCAGTCCAGATTCTGTGAATATTTGAGTGTGATACAGTCGTTGCCCATCCAACAAATAATATCAGGAAAGAGAGCTCAACTCAACTCAGCTCAGATAAGACTAACTAAACATACTCTCAACCCAGATCAACCCAATATTGAGGACTTAAGACCCGACTCAATCTTTATGAGAATCTAAACACAAAAAGAACCCAACAAAGAAACAAACATACCTCAACATCATGAAAACCAAACTTCAAAACATCCAAACTAACACTTGACTTGGGTGAAGCCACAGTGAGAACAGCACCCTCTGGTGATGGGCTGCAGTATAGGTCATAAATCCGGCCTCTTCCAGCAATCCTTATGGGGCTGTGGACAAACTTTGGAAATTACTGATGCAGAATATTCTTTTTTCTCCCCCCATGTTGCGATATTGACTTTAAGAGTGGTTTGTGCTCAAGTCCTCTTTTTTTCTCTACAGCTCAATTTTTCTATGATTGACACTTGATACAGCCTATGGACGAACAAAGATTGCGTAGCTCACCCAGAGGATACATTGTTTGAGCTGAGCGTCATCACAGCGACTGTTGGCAACTCTCCCACCAAATGTCTACCCTGCTACCGTGCAAGTGGAGGAGTGCATACAACACTATGTTGGTTTCAGGAAGTGGAGAAAAATCGCAGAAATACCGAGAGCTTTTCGGCTTCAAATTTGTATCATGACGGAAGGTGGAGCCAAGTTGTCCATAGTGTATACAGTCTATGCAAAAACCCACGCAGCCCAAACGTATCAAGGTTGAGTCCAATTATTTTATGGCTTTTCTAGCTTCATGTCTGTTTTCTCTTTACTTCGGGGTGTCACTGTCCCTCAGTTCCTTGGATTTTTAAATGCCCCTTGTTAGCTGGTGGCTTGTTTTTTCCTCACAGAATTTCTCTGCAGATCACTGGTCACCCAACAATCAACCAAACAGGCTTAAGTGTTGTGCTTATCAAATAAATTGAGAGTAGTTCTTAAACACAGCCTTCATAATATTTTCCAATGATGTGGTTAATAACATGAAGGCACAGTGTGAACAGGGAGAGTTAAGATTCCTAGAATTGGTTTTATTGGAGTTGACTGTTGTTAACATTCATGTGTTGTTGTTATGCGGTTGTGACCGCCAGCAAAGGTTATTTTTTAAGAATAATAATAACTTTATTAATCCCCAAAGGGAAATTCAATTGTCTGTTGTCTCGCAAAATAAGTCTCTAAAAGTTATCTACTATTTACACAAGAGTTTTAAAGTCTAATGGCTGTTGGTACAAAAGATCTTCTGAATCTTTCTGTCCCACAGCGAAGAGAGAGGAGCCGTCCACCACCTTTGGCCCTTTGGTCCATCAAGGTGTTGTGAAGTGGATGATCCATGTTCGTGAGACTAGTCTTCACCTTCCTCAGTGTAGATCTCTCCACCACATCCTCCACTGAGTCCAGCTTGAGTCCAACCACAGAGCCAGGAAAGTTTTATCTGTTATTTCAGAGGTAACCATTCGAAAAAAAGCAGGTAGGTGTGTTTTACCACATTAATCTACTACTGAGGCTGATGAAAATGCTATCAGCTCAAGTACAATGGTCCATTCAGAGTATTACCCGAGGAAAGTGATAGAAGAAAGCTGCCACAGAGATTAAAAAATCTTTCTGGTGTGGTAAAAACATTGTAAAACTAAATTTACTGAAAACTTCAGAGTGCTTTTGAAAATATTTATAGGTAGTGAACTGACTGGTAGACTGGTAGCTGCTTGTGGAGTATTTTGTGATAATATCTTTCAAATATCAATACTTCTCATAGGGAAACTCTCTTCAGCCCAGGAGTCCCTCCTCTGTGCTTTTCCTGCTGTTACAGAGAGTGACTGGCAGATCGCTCATATTAAGGTCAATCTGCTTATATCATTCAACCCCTCAGGGATGCACTTAAAGACCAGTATGAGCCTTCACTTCTCTCTTTCTGTGGGCTATTTCTACTTTTTTTTAAATCTCATTTTGCATTAGAGGTCATGTCTGAGGATTGGCATCGAAGTCTGAACCTAAACTGCAGCTTTGAAGTGTCTGATTGCCCCACAGATGATCTGTTTTGATGCTCCACATTTGCATACTACCTCAGCTGCACCCAACCTGAACACTGCTGGTGCATCAGCGCTGATTCCTGAGAGCATCTCAGCTAAAGCTCTGCAGTTATTCACTGATTGAAAGGTGAACAAATTGCAGTGAACTCCTGCAGTATAGTGCATTAATCGGCACAAATTACAGGAACATAGATTTGGCATTTATCTCTGAGCTTGCCAGGGGCATGCCAAAAGCGAATGTGCTCACTGCAGCTGAATTACCAGCAGAGTGTCAGGGATTAGAAAATAGAAATGGTACACTCTTTAGAAAGAGATTAAAAACACAGACTGAGAGCTGCAAAAGAAAAAGTTTGACTCCTCAGGTACTGCTGTCTTTTTAATATGGAGCTGGTTTTCAAATTTTGATACTTTCAGAAGTGCTTCAGTACTCTTCAGTTTGAATGATCTGGTCAGACAGGACCAAATTTAGACTCTTTCATTTGTGAGCTAATGAGCATGCATGCTTTAAGAAATAAGAAACCTGAACATTAGGTTGTAGTGATTGAAACTGTGGCGCCCCTTCAGTTATGTAATGAAACCTTTTATTGACCTATGACCTAAGGAAAGAACAGCTGCTTTTACTTTGTGCACCAGTCTCACCATCTCCCTCTTTCTGCACCTGCCTCTCTCCCGTCTCTAAACCCAGTGCAGTCCTAGCAAATGGTTGTCTAACATGAGTTTGGATCTGCTCAAGGTTTCTGCCTGTCAAAAGAAATTTGTCTCTCAACTCTTACTTGATAAATGCTGCAAAGGGTTTCCACTATTCTAACCTCCTTCCCACATGAGCTTAAGGTTGTAAAAATCAATGCAAAGCTGCAAAAAGTCAGCAAGAGTTATTCAAAACCAAGCTATCAAAATAATCAGAGCACAGAAAACCGTCTTGTGATGTTTTATTTGTTCCTTTTTTGTTCGTTTTTTTGTCAAGATGGCCTTCTCGGGACAAAGCTGGAACAATTTTGTTTCAAACTACAGTGAAAACTTCAGTTCCCCGGGGCCTTGATAGTTTGGCAGGAAGTTTATAAGCAGGAATTTTATAAGCAGAATAAAATTCTCAGAAGATTTAAGGACATCTGGGGATATCCACGCATGATGTAACAGAGTTTAGGTTCCAGCAGGTTTTCTCTAAATTACTTGCTGATGTTGACATGCTGAAGAGAACTGCTCTGGACTCTGGGGAGTCAGGTGTAGATAGAGTAATTTGTCCTGACTCTATTGGGTTTGTGTAGTTTCACACATGGAGAGTTAGGAGAGTAACTCCACTGTCAAAGTGACCCACAGGGGGCCGCGCTGAACAGGTATTTTTGTGTTTTCTGAAGAGAAAAGGGCAAATGCCTCTTTAGACATCTTCAGCTGCTTGAGGGAAGCCGCCTGGTTAAAACTGTTACACAAGGTTTTCAGATTTTAGGTTTTTAAATGTACTTTAGGTAGAAGATGCAATGATAAAGACGATATATTCAGTCTGTTAGGATTAAAGA